TGAACATATTTTGTCTTTCCGATGACTCGACAGTATCGGATTTCTTTGTAAGTTAAAATATGCAAGACCGGCAAAGATCATATTTTACTGAATTGCATAATGAACATTATAGTCTGAAAATGTGAATTTTATTTCACGTGAAAAAAAAACTTGATCAAAATTAAGTTACTCATAAATTAATTGTTTAAATTAAAACTTAATTGTCAAGACGCGATTTTGATCGTAATAAAATATATTATCATCGATAAAAACGAATTTCTGACAAATTAGCTAATCTCACAATCAGAGGGATTATTTTTATAAAATGACCAATTTAATTATCATACCAATTTAAATAAATATAATTAACATAAATTATAAGATTAAAAATGTAACCACGAATAGTCAATATTTCAGAAAAGATAAACATATCTCGCGGAAGATCGTGAAAGATCGCGAAAGATTGTAGAAAGAATCGTCTGTTCATTTTTCTTAGAAATCAAAACTATTCTTGAGCTCCTTGGCGAAGCTGGTAGAACAAGTTTCCCGACAATAACTCGAAGATGCTCCGAAGAGGCTGTGCAAAAAAGAGCAGCAGCAGCAACAGCAGCAAAAAAAGAAAACAAACAACAACAACAAAAAGATCGTCTTGATAAAATGACGTTAATAAAATACTATTACGATCGGCTAGCAAGAAATTTGCATGATCGAATCAAAATCAATCACTATTTTTAAAACATCCATTTATCCTGTGTTCCATTTATAATTAAGTATTTAATTGCAGAAAATAAGTGGATATTAGTATTGTTTAAATGATCTTTTTATTTGTATTTTGTTTTCTCTCACTTCTTGGCAGTTTCCTAGAATAATTATTCATAAAATAATACACAATTACGCTTAAAAGAAGTAAAAAAAGAAACATAGCTATTATAGAACACTTAAAATTAAAAAAAAAAAAAAAAACGATTCTATTTATCTCGGAAAATATAATATTGTTTTAAAATGTCTGGAAAATATACGTTTATTAACGTAACCGTCTGTCGTTATAGTCGTCAAGAATCTAACTCAAAATCGATCTCTCTTATTATAAACGATATTAATCATTAATTTCAATCAAGCTTAACTTAGACAAAGTATAAATAAAGTCTACAAATATTAAATTTAAAAACAAAAAGAGCAAATAATAGTGCCTTACGTAAAGTCACAGACCAATGAAAACACATTTAATTAGAAAACGTTTGTGGACGATAATCTAACTTAACTAAAACTTTATCAATGAAATAAAAGAAACAAAATAAGAAGACAAAAAATTGGAAATATTCCAAAGTAGATGATGTTGTTAAAGAAAAATGAAAAATATACGATAAAAGGAGAAAATGAAATGGTGTTCTCACCTCTTGTGTTAGAAGATCGACGACATGTGAGAAAACTCGATGAACGAAAGTGAACTTGTTCTTCCACTCTTCTTCTTCTTCTTCTTCTTCTTCTACTTCTTCTTCTTCTTCTTCTTCTACTTCTTCTTTTTCTTTTTCTTCTTTTTCTTCTCTATCTCTTACTTTCCTTCTTCGTACACCTTCACCTTCCTCCCTTTCACTCTCTCTCTCTCTCTCTCTCTCTTGTTCTCTCTCCTTCTCTTTTTCTCTTTGTAATATGGCACACACAAAAACAAAAACAAAAACAAAAACAAAAACAAAAACAAAATTTACAAAGGATATTTATCAAAATAAGGTAGAAATAATTGATGAGGATCTGATGATAACACGTTTGAGACGTACTTGGGACGAGTACGACGGTCAGAATACGACTGTTGCCACTGCGGTTTACAGCGAGCACGTGGAACTTCCTTCTTCGATACCACGACACAACCAACACTCTTTCATAAATATTCATTTACGTGTGTGCTAAGCTCACACACACACACACACGCACACGCGTGTACACTCTCACGTAGAGAGAGAGAGAGAGAGAGAGAGAGAAATAAATATCCGCTTGATTATTTTGTTAATTATTTTGTTAACCTATTAGTAGAAGATGATAATCGTCAGGAAGGGAGTAACTTTTTTCTTTTATATCAAACAAAGATACTTATGAAAGATAAAGGGATGAAGATGCAATGATTTGTTTTGAAAAGATTTATCGAAAGACACGATTGAAGAATTTCTAATTACATTACGACGACATCCAAGGAATATCGAAGAGACTAAACGTGCGAGAATTTATCTATGGGATTTAAAAACATTGAGATATTATAAATTTTGCATCGATTTATCGTATTGATCTGAAAATTAGCTTGCATTATCTTATTTCTTATTTTTTTACATTAAATTATTCTTTTTCTTTTTTTTCGTATGCGATCTTTCAATATTAGTCAAGGAATTCGATTAGTCAATGTTTGATAAACAATGAATTCTTCTTTGGTCTTATCGAGTTATCGTACAAATCCTGAAATAAGTTACGCGTCCTTAATTTGTTTCATATTTTAATGCATTTCCTTTTGTTTGCTATCAAATTACCACAGAATACTATAATTATTTAGAAATTGTAACAGCAAGTCGTATCGCTTGATAATTTTTTATATGCGTCGTATGCGTAACTCTATAGCATAATGAGTCAATCTGTTTAACAAATAAGTTCGATTACAATCTTGAAGGTTCGTCGGGGTCTCGATTGGTCAACCGACGTAAACTTATTTGAAATATTCGTTTGATCGTGATAGCATAACGAAAGTTGACTAAAATATAATCAGTTTATTAGAATAAACAAAAGAAAGAAAGAAAGAAAGAAAGAAAGAGAGATTGTTAATTTTGCAATAATTAAAGTATTTTAAATATTTTCGAATCGATTCTCAACATACAATTACGAAAGCATCAATCGACAAGAGTATAACAATAAGTCAAAGTGAAATGCATAATAACCGGAGCATTCGACGCACGCAAAGTTTCCAAACGATGCGCGACTCTATTCGTGACACCAAATCCGTCCTACCTTTGTCATATTTAACCACAAGAGAAAGTTCATTGCACAATAGGACGACCATATATATATATTAAGGTAAGGTTAGAAAGAAAAAGAGAAAGAAAGATATAAAAAAAATTGAAAATAGTAAAAACAAAAATATATCGATCGCAAATTTATTAAAAATTATTCAAGACTAAAGTTTCAAAAGTTTGCATATTTAACACATTGTTGGTTAACACAATTGTATTATAATATGCAGAAACGTTATATACGTTTCACAATAGCCGTATAAATTATTGAAAGAAATTAATTTACTTTAATAAAGAACATTTTCTCCCTAAAAAAAAAAAAAGAGGTTAAAATTGCAGCATCTCCCTATCTAAGAAATAATTACTTAGTTAGTACTTATATTATAAACAGGAAATATAATAAGATAATCTTAAAAATCAATAATCTAATGCTCACATGTATCCTTAATCAAAAAATAAGATCTGATTTTAATACGAAGAAAATGTCAATCTGTTTCCTTTTGTTTTTCTTGTCATCGCGATAATTTCCATAAATCAAATTCTATTACTTGCAAAACTGATTTTTCAATTGGATGCTTTTTATTTCAACGTTATATTCTCCCACCGTACTTTTACTTTTATTCCTTTTCTTTGCATAAACACGAACTTCTCCCTCTCTTCTTTTCTTGTTCTTTCTCTTGGCATACCACAAATCCTTTCCCCTTCGTTTTATCGCGATCTGAAGAATAATTATTTTGCTATGCTCGTATATTTTCTCCCTTTATCTCCGCAGGATGCTCGTTATCGCGAACACTGCTTGCTAGTAACAATACTGCTTCGTTGCAGTTATTAAAAAGCTTTTGTACAACAAATATACGTATAATAAAGGATTCAAGAGGAAAACGAAAAGAACAATTATTTATTGTTTTTAAATAGATTCAATAGTTTATAATCTTTTCTATTTCGCGTTTTTTTTTTTTTTTTGAATATTTTATACATAATTGTAATTATAATCATTCTATTCGATATCAACCCTTTACGATTGATAGATAATCTGATGATGATTTATAAATATCATATGTGCTAGAAAATATTAGCGATAAAATGCTCGACTGATATATTATAATCTCGTATTTATTAAATATTACGTTAGAATGATTTAAAATTATTGCCAGGTATGCATGAAGAATGTATATGAAAATAAACGATGCATTCAGGAATGAAAGAAAGATTTGTGGAAGATCGACCTCCTGTATTTCTTCTAATCCTTTTCTCCTTCGTGATCCTTTCTAAAAATACGACCTACTCCTGAGGTATTTGAAAAAAGAAATTGAAGAAACGAAAAATCCTGTTTGGCGAGTGCTGCAACCGAATTATAATAGAACCAAAATATATATGTTCGAAATAAAATGTAATATTACAATTTTCTGCTACAAATTTTGTAATAAAATCATTTTAAAGAAAATTTGCAAAGTACAAAATTCGAATTCTTGAAGAAAACGATTTTCTGATTACGATAACTGTGATTACTTAAATTATCAAATGAAATTTGAGCGCAAATAATCTGCACGAAGTTTGGAAAGAGAACGATTCTATTTCCATGACCCACTTGGAAGAAAGAAAGGACTATATATAATAACACAAAGAGAGAGAGAGAGAGAGAGAGAGAGAAAGAAAAACCGCAAAAGCAAGTCAGTTATCTTTCTTATCTTTCTCTCTTTCTATTTTCTTCTTTTATCCTCCGTCGTCCGTCCGTCCGTCCGTCCGTCTCGTTAAGGAAATTCTAAAAAAGGATAAAAATGCAACATTCGTTTCGAATTACGAAAGGTACATTCCAAGAGTTTGTCTTAATTGACTGCGCAAATCGTTTGAAAACTCGACCCTTTCATTCGATTTCCGATTCTATTCGATTCAATTAAGAACAAGTTAACGAGTCATTTCATTTTCCATTTGATCAAAAGCTCGATTTATTTAAAAAAAAAAAAAAAAAAAACATTTTTCATGAATATTTTAATAAATTCGATATATCGATGGATGATTAGGAACGATGATGAAATAATGAAAATGTTGAATAATTAATGAATCTTCATGAAGTTAACCGATTTTCTTGATAAATATTTGTAAACAATAATCAAGTATTTCCCACGAGATGGAACGTGTATGTATATGAGAACCCTTTCCATAAGCCGATAATCCTGTAAATTGTAATGCGTGTGTATACGCATGTATATGCTACGTGGAACGATTAATAAAATGGAAATTGCTTGTATGTTTTATTCAAAAAACGCCCATAGATTTAGTTATTATTTTCTTAAGAGAATCTTCACGTAATCCACGAGCTTGTCGAGACCAGGCTGATTCACTTCCTCGTACCCAGGTATCTCGTTCTTGCACGTCCTCAACCAATTTTCCAGATGGAGATATTTTCCCGTCGATGGCACGAACAGCTTTAATGCGTAACACAAACACGATGAATTTCCGAAAAGAAAATAATTATCCAGCAAAACTTATATCTAAAGTGAAAAGCATTGCAACGTTGCGAAACTTGGCTAAAGTAATACTATCTCCATGAATTAGAAAAAAAAACGAAAAACAATCAAATAAATAGATAAATAAATGAAGAACAATTTATAGTTGAATTTACTTCCAAAGTGGAAAGTGTAGCAACGTTGCAAAGATCAGCTATAGTAATCCTGTCTCCAACGAGCCACTTCGTTTTCGCATTTGCCAAAATTGAATCGAGCGTTTTGTAAGCTTTTTCCAATCGAATTATCTTTTCCTTCGTAACGATCTTCTCACCGCCGATAATTGGATACTACAAAATTCCATTTAAATTATAATATAATAATGCAAGATAAATTATCGCCAAACCTGTTTTATATTTATTCGATCAAATGAATTTTTTCAAGAGGATTATATTTTTGCTACTGCTCTAAAAATCGTTGTTCCAAATAGAAAAGAAAAGTATCTTACGATCGGAGAAAATTGTAATAACAAGTGCTAAGAAGAAGAAAATCTACTACAAGTTAAAGACATTAATTTATGCAAATTAACATCTGACTTGTAAGAAGTTGCTACAAAGAATTAAAAAAGAAAGAAAGGAAACACGTAGAGAAAATCGGAACGTCTTTCTTTCTCTTGATCTAAATTCTCAATAAAGTCAAGTTCAATGTCGACAATTACACAAGGATTGGGTTATTGCTTCAATGTCATTTTCAATTCAATTTGAAAGCTACACCAAGGTATAATTACAATTAAATACTAACACAAATTACCAAATCCTAGAATTTTCTCAAACTATAATTAAACGAAGTTTGATCGTTTTGATGTGCAACTTAGCATGACTCGTCATTTATTCTGTGTCTAACATTAAATTAATCAAATTTAAAAAACCTGGAATCCTGGAATACCTGGAATCTGTACATTGATCGTAGCATATACATATATGAGGAATAACAAGTATTATGATTTAATGAGATATTTTTTTCTCATTCTAAGACAAAAATGTTTTCCTGAAGAAAATGATTATAAAAAACTGGTTTTACTTAATGGTACTTTACTGGTCAATAGATAAAAATGTATAAACAAGAAATTCTATCTTAAAATGTCAATACTTTATTATAGAATTTACTAACAACAAAAATCAAATAAAAAAATTCTATTTATGACGCAACTATGACAAATAACAAGTATTATGATTAAAATTGGATATCTTTTATCTGTAATTCTAACGCTATATTAAATTTGTTTATTGAAAAAACGCTTATCAATAAAATATCGATACTTTACCACGATGTTACGAAATTCCGGATAAAGGATTCCCGTATCGAAGTGCAATCTTTGATCAACTAGAGCACGTTTTCTCGAATCTTTCGGATAAAGCATGTCGGATTTTCCGTACTCGTCTACCAAATATCCCGATATCGCGTGACTGTAAAAAGAGAAGCGCAAATATTGGAAGCATACGAAGGGAATGTGAGTGCGATAGAGAAAGAGAAAGAGGGAGAGAAGGAAAAAAAAAAGAAAAGGGATACAGAAAAATAAAAGAGAAACTAATCAGTGTTCAAGTTATCTCCTCTCTTCCGGGAAACAGTATATCCGGTAGGCGGTGTCAAATCATACGCATTATCAAATTATATTGAAAAGTAATCATTTCCACTGACAAGAGCACGATACAATTGTTGTTATTCCAAGTAACGATTAAACGTGGCTAATACAAAAATTCTACATTCTCGAAAAATCCGTGTTTTTTACGTTTTTTTTTCTAAAACTGTATGGAAGATTGTAAGTATCTACAGATCTACTATAAGTCATAGAAAATTGAATGTTTCATTGAAAGAGAGAAATAAATGAATAAGTCGTTCGGAATGAGATATTATAATACGAAGATCCAACATTTTATCATTTTGTTTGTTCTTTCTTTTGTATTTTATGATATTCTACCTATCCCATAGACAGTAATCCTTGTCTTGTAATAACGGTACCGTTCCTTGTGGATTCATCTAAAAGGTCGTATAGTCGATGTGAGTTGTTGTTATTAACGTTATTAACGATATCTAATAACAATCAATGATTATCATCCTATTGAAGATTCTTCGAAAGTCTTCAAATTGTCGTTAAAACTTGCCTGTAAATATTCCTGCATTCGTTGCTCACCAGAGATTAAGTTTATTTCTTTCTTGTACAATGGAAGACCAAGTATGTAAGCCGTCATTAAAACTGACCTAACTGGTGGAGATAATTCAGTCATGTATAGAGTCGGGACGGATTTATTTACAAATGTTTTAAGACTCATAATACAGATTGAACAATTATTAGCTCAAATTTTTGAACAAATCGATTTATCTATCTCTTACGCATTATTTTTTTCTAATGCAACGTTGACTCGTCTGAATTTGTTCAACGATAATCTAACGATATACCACGATATACCCCACATGTATGTATGTGAAGGTGTACTAATTCGATGGATCGATGAAACTGTCTCGGTTATCGCTAAGCAACGTTCCCAACTTTTAATTCAATTATCGGTTGTTTTCCACAAAGCATTTAGCAACTTGTTTAAAATATCTAACGATTCGGTCATAACGAACGAGGTCAAAGATTCAATCGGTTGTCAAAAAAAAAAACATCAATAATAAAAATAAATTTATATATGTATATATATGTAAATAACAAAATTTGTTGAATCGATCATAGAAAATTCCTTTCCTCTGTACATTTAAAGAGAATCATTCGTTCGTAATTTTCTGTTTGAACATTTCCTGAATTATCTTGTTCCCTGGTTCGTTGTATTTTCCGTAACCCGGTAAATGTTTCTCGCAACGTTTCAACCATGCTTGAACGTTTGGATATTCGTTCAATTGCAAGAGAACCTGTAAAAATTGTTATCGATAAATTGATTATTAATTAAGCACCTAATAATATAATTAAGAAAAAATAAATAAATAAATAATATGATATAATATATAATATTACTTTATCAATTTTCTCAAATTTGTCTTTACAATGAGATAAATCAAGTAATCTGTGAAATTGTATTGAAATCATCGATAACATAATAAAAACTTACGATCATTGAAGAAACCGTGCAGACGCAGCAAATATCAGCAATCGTATAAGAATCTCCGACCAACCACTGTTTACCTTCCAAAAGCTTATTGAAAGTTTCCAAACCTTCCTTGGCATCGTCTAACAATTCATTTCGAACTTTTGTTTCCGACCCAATAATTATAGGTCTCTACGATAACCGACAAATTTTATTTTATAATTGAACATTTGAAAAAATCATATTCATTTGCTTATTTCACAATAAAATGTTTATACTTACAACAATTCTTTTAAGAGAAGGGAAAAGAATTGAAGCATTAAAGATTAGACATTGCCATACTGTTGATCTCAACTGCAAGGATTTTGGATAAAGTGAATCGTTCGTGCCGTATTTATCCACCAAATAAGTAACGATAGCATGACTACAAAATTCGCACATGTGTTACTTTATCTTCCTTAACTCAATGTATATCTATTTTGATAAAAAAGAAAGTCACTCACCTATCCCATAATATGAAGTCATTATCCTGTATAGTTGGAATTGTGTGCTGAGGATTTATCTGCAAAATACAAAATAATACAAAAATAAAACAAAATTAATTTTGATTAGGATTTTTTTAACCCATTTACATCATAACTATAATTAGTCTTCCTTGTACCCAAACATATGAGACATAAAACTTACGACTGACCGGTATCACCGTTCAAGTGCTCACAGATAAAAACACAAATGGGTTAAAATTAGAAATACTAAACAGTTGAAGTATTGTTCAACTATGACATAACCATTTTATCGACTTATCAATTATCATTAACTGGACTTTGTTATTTGACGAGATAATTCGTTAAAGTAACATTTCGACTCTATACAATTTATTCTTACATACACACATATCATAAAATTATTTAGTCAAATATATATATACTGATATATGTTAATGAAGTATTTATTATGAATTATTAAAAATTTATTTCAATGGAGATTTACCTTAATAAAATCTTCTTTACGATGATCTCCGTTGTGCAAATTGATTTCCTTAATATCAAAATCAACGCCAACAGCTGCTCCTACCATGAGCACTGCACGACAAGGTGGACTTGCGATTGTCGAGTACAAAGTGACTTTAGGCATCTTTTCTTTCTCTACAAATAATTATATAAGTATTGAATTAAAATCATTGACGATTGAACAAATGTTTTCAAATAAATCGACACAATTTCGATATTTTACTTGAAAATAAAAAATTAAAAAACACAAAGCAAATTTACGATTATAAACTAAAAAAAGAAACAAATAAAAAATTTGTATTCATCGTTAATTAATTTAAAACAAATAAAAAGTATTAATATATATTTATAAAAGTACACGTACATAAAAAGCAAAGAAACACAGACGAACTAGACTGTTATCAACGATAACGTAATTTCGTCACTGTGACAAAGCATAAATTAAACTTGTTTTTACTCAACTATATTTATCAATAAAACAAAAAATAATAATAATAATAATAATTAAAGAAATCAGTAAAACAGTGTTATATGTACTTTTACATATAAAAACATTGTATTCAAAAAATATGTTAATTAAATTATAATTAAAACCGTCACAAGAACCCATATTTATTTTCGAATACATTCGTTAGAAATCATTAACACGTTTCTTCACATACTTTCTTTTTTTTTTTTTTTTTTTTTTTGATCTATTATACGATCCTAATCAGATTCGTGAAATCAATATACGCATATATATTTCTACAGAAATATTTTACCAACTGTCAATTATAATAAAAATAACTTATACGTCTGGTACGACAAATTTATTGTTTAAAAAACTTAAAAATTCATTAAAGTTCCATTTTTTCTATCTCTTGACTAGGTGAACGAAAAACACAAATAATTAATGTAAAATATATTAATTAATAATCATTAATTACCTATAAACTATCTATCTCTATTATATTGAAATGACAAACTATTAATCTATCTACCTTATCTTTCTTCTTCTTTTCTTACTAGTCCTTCCTCTTAGACTGAGCTCGTTCTTCTTCTTGTCCTTGTTTTTATTCTCGTTTGTGTTTCTTAGTTCATCAACTTAACAAATCTATTATAGAAGGCGCACTGATCTAGTAAAACGCGGCAAATTTAAATTAAAGAAAGTATACTTTTTTTATATACAATATTTACATACGTACAGTACTTACACATACAGTATTTTGTTTGTTCAAACATAAGCTTTAATATTACTCACACGATTTCGTTGGACGTATTTAAAAAATCTAAGAAAGAATATGACGTTATTAATAAAGATGAAGATGATGAAGAAGAAAAGGAAGAAAATGCTTGACTCAAACAACACCACGACCGGTTTATTACTGATAGTTTGACCCAATCCTACCGGCAGTTTTATCGTCGAGTATAGTTGGTAAAGCCGGTTGGTTATACAATACTTCTCCTTTTATATACTACATTCATCAATCTACTTGATCAGCCTGTTTGTTAATTAATTGATCGACACTGAGATAAAATTTAGTACCGTAATTAGTGTCCTTTCTTAAGCTTCTCTTTTTTTCCCACTAATTTACATATATTTTTTGTTTTTCTCAATTACAATGCAAACGAAGCACACATAAATAAATGATATTTTTTTCGTTAACATATTGATCAACATATTAATTTACTGATAATTATAACACTGTACTGATTGTCAGTATGTTATACAAAACTTATGATAAATAACATATTTATCATTTTGTGATAGAAAATAAATCTATTTTTTTTTTTTTTTATATAATTTGTTGTATTATTACCGTTACATACATATACGATACTTATGAATATCAATTTTGAAATTATTTTTGTCAATTTTTTTCTGTACAAAAGAGAAATAAAAGAAAAATTAAAAAAAGGAAGAGAGAATATTCAATCAAACGCGATAATTATCTTTTTTTCTATTTTAACAAAAAAAGAAAAAAAAATCATTTCTGTGTGTACTTATTGAAACCTTGATATATTGGTCACAACGCATATTCGGTTTCGCGGTTGGAGGTTTTCTATTTTTGAAAAATAATCTCTACTGCCACGGCCAGTCAATCTTTTCTATCTTTAATCGATTTTGTTTCTCATGCTATTTGTACCTAACTATAATTTCTACAAGCTCTTAGAAAATATTTATCACTAAAAAACTTTCTTTCTCTCTTTCTTTCTCTCTCTCTCTCAAAAACAAAAAAAAAACATTAAAATAAAATTAAAACTCTGATCAAAGATTTATTAACTCCAAGATTAAACAAATTAAAAAAAAACCAAAGGTCTCGTAATGTTTTACAAAAAACAAACGACCTCAAGGAAAGATGTTTTTTTACAAAATTTGATTTAAATCATTTTCATGGCAAAGTTAAAACAATGAAAATTTCCTTTGAAAATATATCATTCGAAGGTCATCCGAAGCTGCTGTTCGACGGTACGCTTCCTCTCTGCCCCATTCCTCCTCGTTTCTATACCGTGCGCCCTGGCTAAGCGCATGCACCTGTTGCATCGTTCTAGATACAGCACTGGATTACATGGCCTTTAATCGTACATAATGTCATGGGCGTTGTCTCTTCGTAGAACAGCTATGATTCGTTCAAGCAAAATCGACTAACTCGACTTGATGTTATTTTTGTTGTTATATAATATTTAATGCGTAGGATTAGCACCTTTCTGGGTGTATGCATAGATAGATGTAAGTATGTGTGTATGTGTGTGTGTGTTTAATTGGTAAATTGTGCACCAATGACGTCACATGTCGCGTACATTTAATCTTGATAATTCAATCTGACGGATAACGCAATTCTAAACTCGATAGCACCTGCTTATTGAATGTATATGGACATGTACTATGTATTATATGTATGAAATTTAAACATTATCTATGGATATTTATAAATATCATACTCTCAATAATCGCATGCTATATTTAATCGCCGTATAATTATTAAATTAACAATAAAATAAAGAGTGAAAAACATTAAAAATGTACGGACTTAGAAAAGGACACCGGCATCGAAGACACGACGCAACACGACGTCTATTCGGATGCTGCCTACAAAAGATATAACGAATAGGATAAAGTTAGTCACCACCATTTTTGTGGGAAGAATTAAAAGCACTATCTAGATCGCAATTACGTGTATACGTTTTATACAAGTTTTTCATAATGTCTTTTTATGTTTGCGACAAATCTCAGTAAATAAAATTATGTATACACTTAAATATTGAATACAAGAAGGATAAATGGTGAAAAAAAAAAAACCAAAATGGAAAAGATAATCATTCCTTCCATTTGTCCGAATTTTTTGGACTTTAAAATGTTATGTTTTATGTTTATTTGAATAGTTTATTGGAATAATAATACTTCGTAGTATAATTGAAGACATTCAATTACGATAACGATATTAAATTTCGTTTATTTATAATCCATGCAACAGCGACTATAGATAGCAAATAAATTGTCTATTTTTAATTATCATCCTTTCCTAATTATCATTACGATCGCATATCATTTATCAGTAAATGATATAATTACCCTATGTATAATCTATATTTTCAAATAAATGAAAGCATGTACAATAAAGTACAACATGATTATATTAATACCATCATTGATATTCATCCCTATTCTCTGTGAATGGTAAATTTCCTCTAATTTGTAAATCATTTCTGTGGTCGGTAAATAGTTTTATCAAAACTGACCACACCACCATCTTTCGGACTTTATGGGAAATAATATACTTTAACGCCATCTTTCTATATTCCAATGAATTAAAACACACGATCGATCGATTTCAAATATAAAAATACGACTGTTTGTTAAATTTGATAAATAATGATAACATTATGATATTTTGCATCTTACTAATCACTTTTTTTTTCAACCTAACAATCATATATTTAATGATGAGAAAGCACTTGTATATTTAATTCGTCGAATTCAAAATGTTTCAAAATAATTGGTCATCATCGTAAAAGAAAAATGCTCCTTTTAAAAATATATATATTTTATTAAATATAAATGAAAAAATATATATATATATTTATTAATGAATTGTTCACTTTCTCATTATTTAGAGAAAGTGTAATAATATTTAATTATAAAGATAATCGATGTATATAATTTATTTGAAAGTAACCGTAATACAATTGTAGTTTCAAACAACAGAAATATAGTAATATTTGACTTTTTGACTGTGAAAATACGTAAGTAAATTAATAAGTAAATACTTACATAGAATATATAGTGTCGCCTATAAGAAGGATAACCCCGTATATTCTGAGTCGTTCACTCTTTAGTCGCACGCCAACCATCTGTTCGACGACTTGTATCGCGTGTTGATATCTTCGGCAAAGATCACGATTAAACAAATTTCATTATAGAAAAATCATTGAACTTTTCACATTAAATTATAATTAATACAGTGTTTATCAAGAGATATATATATGTACCAAGTAATACTAATAAATACAAATAATAAATTTATTTCATTAGAAGAATTAAAAGAAGTATTAATACGTTAACGAAAAAAACCATGGCCTGTCCTTTGTCGGAAACGATCACGTGAGTGGATTTTAATCATTTAAAAATATGTAATATTCAATTCAAATTTTTCAGTCAAATCTTTTTCTGGTAAAAAAATAATGGCTATTAATTAAAAATAATAATAAATACTAATAAAATACATTAAGAAATTGATCTTGTTAATTAATTTTGTTGTTTTCAATATTTCTTTTGTTATTTATTTTATTATCTCGATCCTCGATCTCTATATGCGTGTTCCTTATGAAATAATCTAGAAAAAAATAATATACATATGTATCAAATTTAAGATCAACTATATTAGTTAGAAGACTTGATACATATGCGGTATTAAATTGTCTCCTTGACTTATGCTACATAGATAATGATGAAAAAAAAATTCAAAGAGGTTAAAAAGATCATGCTAGATCTAGATATTTATGTGCTCTAACAATAAATTTGAAAACTTCGTTTTATTGGACGATTAAAAAGATAATTTATAATATATCTCTCTCATAGATCTTAATCGAAATATTTGTTTCTTTTGTTATTTTTAATTATTAAAGAGTAAGATTGATCCGTAGTTCTATTCTCTTAGAGATGATCAGAGTCAAGAGAAAATTCAATTAACTGAAGGACCAGGCTTACTTTACGGAGAGTATCTTCGATTAGATAAAATCTTAACCGCGCAAAGACTTCTCAGCGCTGAGTGCAATGAAGAGGTACACGATGAGCATCTTTTTATCATTACTCATCAAGGTATTACGAAGATTTGTTTCTTCGGTAAACAAAAATATAGAAATAACAAATTGTTAAGACAGTACAGTTTTCATTTTGATCGCAGCATACGAGTTGTGGTTTAAGCAGATTATCTATGAGTTGGATTCGGTCAGATCACTCTTCTGTTCGGATTCGAACATTTACAACGCTACCAATCACTCCTCGACTATTCAAAATGGACCATCTCATGTCTTGAACGAATCAAGAACTTTGGAAATTCTCAAACGACTCAATCGCATCGTTCTTATATTAAAAGTATGTTTTTTTTTTTTTTTCAATTATTTTTATCGATTATTAATAATAGCAAAGAAATGATATCACTAATCGCAACGATAACAATTGCGTTACCGCAAGGCTTATAATTTAATTATTCAAACGCCTTTGAAAATTAAACGTCAACAGTGTGGTGTGCAGTTGGCATGCGTTGCGTTCGAATATTTTTTCGTGAAAGAAACAAGAAAAAACCAAAACTGGATATGAAATGAAACCGATCTATATTTCGACTAGCAAAACCCGAACGACGACGATGGGCACATAAATTTTTGTTTCTCCTTTTCCTTTCACATTAACAACCCAACCGTCTTTCCCCAACCCTTTCCGTCTATCCAACAAACGTTGTATAAGGACCACTGTAATAATACACGGACCCTGAGTAAAATAATACCGACAGAAGATACGTGACACCTTTTATGGATAACCATAGGCGCAAAGAACTTGAATAATAATTTTATTACCGTCCATTCCATACCGCAAAATATGCGTGCGGTTATTTCCCCCCACCCCCTGTATTATCTACCTATTCGATTCAAAAATAACAAAAATACTACTGTTGCTTTCGCTGAACGTTAAACTCTCGTAAGAACAAACTAAACTTGACTTTAATACTTTAATAAAACAAGGAGATGAGAGACAATGGTAAAACTCTTTTCAAAGGAATCCATAAAGAGGTTGACACTAATTGATCTATCGATGAACTTTCGTGTGATTACAGGAAAAAGAAGCAAAGAAACGATTTGTCACCTTTAATGTATTTCACTGTCGTGGTAAATCCACGCTAAGTACAATAAGTGTCTGCACCAAGCAACCATATAAATGCGGAATATACCTGTGGTCTAATCGATAAGCTCTATTTATGTGTACTTGAGAAAGAGATTTTCTTTTAAAAATAACAAAATAAACGAAATCTACTTAGAATAATATGAAATGAAATGAAATAACAATGATAAAACATATTAAATACTTACCTTAGAAAAAATTCAACATTATCTCTTGTACGTTTTTCCGCAGCTTCTAGTGGATCAAGTTACGATCTTAGAGACTATGACACCGTTGGATTTTATGGCCTTCCGTGATTACCTTTGCCCAGCTTCCGGCTTCCAATCTCTGCAATTTCGATTACTGGAGAACAAACTTGGTGTTAAACAAGAACACAGAGTAAAGTACAATCAGAGTTACACGAGAGTTTTTGGAAGAGATCCGAAAGCCATTGAGGAAATCAAACGTTCGGAAGAAGATCCTAGTTTGAGTTGTTTGGTCCAAAGGTGGTTGGCCAGAACACCGGGTCTCGAATCTTACGACTTTGACTTTTGGGGAAAATACAAAAGAGCTGTCGAACGAATGCTCTTCGAACAAGAACAAACTGCGCAGGTTAATTTTTATTTACAAAAATATCAAGTTTGAGTTGCCATTTATTTATCCAAGATAGAAAAATATAAATATTTTACCGTAGAAACAATCGAAGGAACAAATGAAGCTGTATCTAATGAACAGCGTTCAATCTCGTAAAGCCATGTTCGAAACAATCTTTAAGGAATCTCTTCATAACGCGCTTGTCTCGAGAGGAGAACGAAGATTTTCCTATGCTGCTTTTCAAGGAGCCGTAATGATAACATTGTACCGAGACGAACCAAGATTCAGTCAGCCCCATCAAATCTTGACCGCATTAATGGACATTGATTCTCTAATTACTAAATGGAGATGTAAGATCGTCTAGATTATTGATTTTTAACTACTTGATTCTTCCTTCTCTACACGAATAATTAAGAAATAGATTACAATTGAATTTTTGTATTTTTTAGATAATCACGTTATCATGGTCCAGAGGATGATCGGTTCTCAACAACTGGGAACTGGTGGATCTTCCGGTTATCAATACCTAAAATCGACATTAAGGTAACTAATAAAATAATTTTATTTTTAATTTGATCAAACTTAATAATATCATACGTTTCAATTAATAGCGACAGATACAAAGTGTTCCTAGATTTATTCAACTTGTCTACGTTCTTAATACCTAGACATTTAATTCCACCGTTAACGAAGCAAATGAAAACGAGACTTTCGATATCTTGGAACGGCAGGAATACCGATAACAATCAAAATAACGCTGAAAATGACACAGAAATCTCGTGAATTCGTAATAATTCATAAAATGAAGTAATATTCTATTTACATGGTTTTTAATCGTACTGTATAACTATATATAGATAAATAATATCCTTATTATAAATTAAAATATCTTGTAATATACAATAAACTAATAAAATATATTTAATTTTATTCTTTTACTGATCCTAAATACAAATTTTATCTACAAAACTATCCTTTCTTATTTCAATTAATAGAATAAGATATTTAATATCCTAATTAAATCTTTGTGTAATTTTGTTCAACACTAATCAGAAAGATATTGATTAAAAATATTGCATATGAAAAATATATATTCTATTTCATTTCTTATTATCAATAGCAGATTAATGAAATACATTAAAATATTATATACTTAAGTATGATAATTATAGATTATAAAGTAATCGTTGTACATTCCATTATTTATAGATGACATCCAGTGCTGAAACTTGATTAGCAATTCCTGGTGATATGAAAAGGAAAAAAAGAAAAGTAATAAATCAGATCTTCATAAAAAGAACATAAATGATTTGGAAAACAATTTGTATCATCTCACCGCAGAGATTGCTGCCAATAGCGATGTATATGTAACCTCTATCACCAAAAGCATTACCCCATGAATTCTTGATAATGTAATAAGGTATAGTGTTGGATTTATCGTAGCCTATTATTTGTACAGCATGATTCAAACTGGTAAAAGCACTATCGCAATGATACTGTATAATACCACCTAAATAATTCTGCCAGGATAATGCATTCACCGCAGCGGCCACAGGACCATGAGTGGCCAACGTTATCAGAAGCTCCTCTTCTGAATCTATAAAGCTAACATGATTTATCAGTTAAACATTATTTACTCTTAAGCCTTGTACGTACGTAGAAAATTTATTGAAGACAAATTCTCCTAAGCATTTATAAATTACTCTAAGAATTATAATGTTATTACACAAATATGTTGATCAGTCAACTTATATAATAAAACCTTTTACTAATACGTTGCTTATATTGCGCGTTAGATTTCTTTCATCATTGTATAACCGATGCGTAATCTCCACTGGAAATCCTTCAATCTCTCCATTTTTGCATCCACAAGTATATTCCTTCATAACGATTAAATCACAAAATAAAAAAGTAATAGATTAGAAATGTAATTACCTGTCGCAGGTAAAATCTATCACTTTAATACCCGGTGTTTTTGCGGTAGCACTGAAATATACAAACATTACTAGATTGTATTATCATAATCTTTTCTATTAAGTTTATCTAATTCGAAAATTTACCCTTTCAGTTTGCACGTATCGGTCATTCGTGTGAACGGATAATTGGACTCCGGTAATATCGGTGATTTGGTTGATTTTAACCACGCAAGTAGACTGCAAATATCACCACCTTCGCATCCGAGATTACTGTTCCTTGCACAATCAATCATCTGCGAGTGTTACGAATGAAATTTCTTACGTAAGGTATATTTATATTCGGACGATGAAAAACATATTATATACTTAGTGAATCAACTACAACAAGTGTTCGCAATATGCAAAACAGTATGTTATCATAATAGGAGGTATTATCTAGTCTCTAAAAAGTTCACTAACTTACCTCTTGTACGCTTAACAAATATAGACTGCCATTTTTTAAGGCATACATCGACTCAACTACCTCGACTGTACTAAACGCCCAACAGGCACCACAAGATCCTTGACTTTTTACGGGAGAAATAATACCTTTTTGACGCCAATCTACTTTCAATGGTATACCTGCAGCTCTTTTTTCTAAATGATTTCTTTCTTTTCTTTTACGATGTTCGCAATGATAAGTAGCGTTAACGTGTTTTTTTCCTAATTGATAAGTAACACAATATCTCAAATTTCTCAAACAATAAAACATTTTGTCGCGAGAACATTTATTATTACTTCGACGTAAACTCACCTCTCATCGATAAATCAGAAGAAAGGATTTGCTGTAGAAATTCATCTTCCAGCATATCGGAAAATTCCGTAAGTCCGTAATAAGCACTTTCCTGAGAAGATCGTAAACCATTCATTTTCTCGATATGTCGTAAAGATCTCTGAAAAAGGATAATAATCCTATTAGTATGTTGAAAATTGAATTTTTATTGATGCAATTTAAAGGAGAGAAAAATAAATTGAAGATTCTCAATGGAAGTGTTCGAAATTGATCAGAAGGGAGGGAAGATGAATAAGCGCGGGAAGTTAAATTTAAAAAGAATACAAATTCAAACAAACTAATCGCGGGAAAAATTTCATCGGCTCAATGTAAAAGTAATTAATAGAACATGCGAGAAAATACGATGACGATAAAACGAGATTTACAGATCTTAATTATTACCTGAAATCGTTGAAATCTGTTACTGTACTCGGTTGGATTTTTTCTATAAGATTTGTTATAACGCGCGACATAATTCTCGAACAATTTCATATCTTTGTCATTGTTGTCAGGGCCAACGCGAATGGGTATGGCCAAAAAACAAAGGCTCACTACTAAAATTGTTACTGCCACTGTTTTCCATTCCATGTCGAAGACACAACATAATACACGACTACTCTTACAGTATACATACGATACTCGAGATTCCAGAGAAACGAAACGAATCTTAATCACGTGACTTAGTAGCAAGTATATATTTCTACTCTTCCATAATACTTTTCAGGATCGTATGACTACTTCTAAATGCCCTCGGTACAAACAATTCAAGGGAAATTTAATATGATATGGACATTGATAAAAATAAAAAATATCACTTTATCAGTAGCAGTATAAAATTCGCAACACACAAATGATGTCTATGTTTTGATCTAATTTCCTAAACCAAACGAGAGATATATTTAAGTGAATAATAAAGGTGTAGACGACGATATTACACAAATAAAAAATTATACATTTTACGTTGCATTAATGATGATAACAATTTTAAAATTATTTTCACAATTACATGATTATAAAACTCTAATGATTTCAATAAAATTTCATTCTACCTAGATTCTGATTTGACTACCCTAGTCAAAACTACCATTTCCGGATTCTCAGCCTCAGTCTTTCATTTCGAGAGTTGTTACAACGCCGTTAGCATCAAATATGGGGACTCGTTCTATTTCCAAGAAAAAGAAGGTTTGTGATTTTACAATGAATTATTGTATATATTATTCGAAAATATAGTGTTTACTATAATCTTTAATATTAGTAAAATAAGATTTTGTGCATAAATGTAAAAGTGAACCGTACCGACAAGGTGGATGCATTGGATATTTGTAATTATCATACCATTATTTTTTTATGAAGCTGTGATATACAGAAAGTTTTAATCTTCATACTAAATGGAATAAACTTCTTGATATTTTACTGATGTTACACATATTAATATTACTTAAGTTAATTATGTCTTACTTCTTGTTGAAGTGTTTTGTTTACCTCAGTAAAACGTGAACTTTTAGGTTAAGTTTACACTAATATTAATATCAAGAATTAAAGATTAGATATATCTAACATTATATTTATAGTTTGTAGGAGATGGAGTTTTTAAAGCTGAACTTAACGAGTTCCTCACTCGTGAGCTCGCAGAAGATGGATATTCTGGTGTTGAGGTTCGTGTAACTCCAACTCGTACAGAGATCATCCTATTAGCCACACATACGCAGAGCGTTTTGGGAGAGAAGGGACGAAGAATCAGAGAATTAACTTCTGTGGTACAGAAACGTTTTAATTTTAAGGAACCACAAAATGTTGAATTGTATGCTGAAAAAGTAGCACAGCGTGGTCTGTGCGCTATTGCACAAGCTGAGTCTCTTCGTTATAAGTTGATTGGTGGACTTGCTGTGCGAAGGTTTGTCTATTTACAAATAATTTTTATCATTCATATTATCATCCTAGTTCATGTATTAATAAATTTCTATATTTGTTGCACAGAGCATGTTATGGTGTTCTTCGGTTTATCATGGAATCAGGAGCAAGAGGATGTGAAGTAGTTGTTAGTGGTAAACTACGTGGTCAGAGAGCTAAATCAATGAAATTTGTTGACGGTTTAATGATTCATTCAGGAGAACCAACCAACAACTATGTAAACACAGCAACCCGTCATGTTCTTCTTCGTCAAGGTATATATTCAATAATATATAATAAGTATTAATTATAATGTACATAATTTCTAATATTAGACATTATTCAATATTTTCTCTTAATATTGTATTGTAGGAGTATTAGGTATTAAAGTGAAAATCATGTTACCATGGGATCCTGTTGGTAAACTTGGTCCAAAAGATCCTCTTCCAGATTATGTATCAATAGCGGAACCGAAAGAAGAAGTACGTCCATTACAACCATCTTCTGAAGTTAAAGCTCCGAAAGATATACCTCAGCCAGCACCACTTGTATAATTAACAACTACACTAAAATAAAAATGGCTTAAAATAAGAAATTCTTTTATTTCTGTATTATATTCTTTATCCTCAATACTGATCATAAAAAATATAAAATATAAAAAAGATATTGCAAGAAATACGATTTTTTTTTAGATATTATTAGAGAATTCATATTATTTTTACGTGTTTTTATTGAATAAAATGATGTAAAGCTTTTTGAGTAAAAAATAAATCGTATATATACCAAACTACTTGGTAAACAAAATAATATAGAAAATAGTAGTATACCACGATATTATTGTATATTTGATCAAAAGAAAATACAAACAAAAATATACAAAAAGGTGTGCTTAGTAAAAGTAATACTTATAAATAACGAAAAAGATCATAAGATATAGTTTACATTACTTATTCCACATAATTATAATTACAGTAATACCATATGTTAGACAACATAACATGTTACACATCTATATAACTATATAATTATGATACACCAGAATACCTAATAACTAGTAATAAATTCATGGGATTTAATAATTAGATTATAAAACAAAAATGTAACCTTATGTAATATTAAATAATAGATAGTGTCTACTAAGTATGCTTATAATTGTTTTTATAAAGATTAAATCTCTTTCGTATTTTAAAATGTATGAAATGTTTATAAAAGACGCGTATATTTTTCACTTAAAACAGTAATAATTGTGTCTAAATGTACCTATTATTACATTTTTGATTAATTTCAACTTTCTATATTTGCTAAATTATAATATACATATATACCAAAAATTTGGACATTATCATTCAATCATCATTAGATTCAATTTTATAAAAGTATGGACCCCTACAATCCAACAACAATTCCCTTGACAAATATTCCTAACGAGTATATATTACTGAGGTACTGGTGCCATTTGTTGAGTTAAAGAAAGAAAACCTTCTATCACTTTACGAAGTATATCTGGCATCGCAGGCTTTTTGGATACAGTACTCAATAGACCTCTGATTTCGTGAAACATATTGCGGGTGAATGCGTTTCTTTGCGATGCAAGACGCATTTTCAAAAACTGATAATATATAATTGGTGTTAATAGACCAACACGTCCCCTGTAAGTAAATCATTATTTTTTCATTCATTTATTCATTTATAAAATTTATATTGAATATACGTATTATTAATGACTTACGTGAAAACAAGGAGAACTGTGAATGGTAAAATAATAATTTCCGAAAGTGCACAAAAACGCAAAATGTTATAAGACTGAAACTCAACCAAAGATATCACAAGACGCATAGCCCACCAACTATTGTGTCCTAAACACTTAAAGAAAGAAAACAATAAAGTATATTAATTGATATTCACAATGATCTTTGCACTATTATACTCTTATATAATTAAACAGGTATCTATAGTAAGATGTTTTTATACTTACATCGAGTAACGTGAGTGAAAAACTGAAAAAGTGCAACATGGCAAATATAAATATAGGTACAAGGACGACTAATTACATGTTTAAGAAAAATATATTATATGTGACACATAATATCACACGAGTAGAAACAAGCTGAACTAATTAATATAATACATTAAAACAAGATATTATATAAAGTAGTAATGATTATTTGAAAGGATACTTGTCACTGGAGGAACATAGAGAAATATTATTGAATAAAATAAGTAATGGCAGGAATCTTCGAGAAGTAACATTCCCAAAAATTCTCTGCTAAACTGTACATTTGGCAGTCTTTGATGAAGACGTAATGCGCTAGTTGCTGCATGACTCATTAAAGCTTTGTAATATATATTATAAACGTTTCTAAAACAACAAACAACAAACAAATATGTTATTCAAATTTTGTTAAAATATACAATTAGTAAATATAAAAGATACAAACTTACCCGAATATTGGAATAACATAACTTATAGTAAACATCATAGTAAGTAATCTTGTAAACCATAATCCGGCTTTAATTTTGTTATCAATAACGTACTGTTTTAAAACAAGCCATCCCTTTTCTGAAACTTCTCGTGATGTACTTCCTGAGCTTGCAGTATCTGCCATTCTATGTATTAAAAAGTAACAAAAGTTAACAAAATATTTATGAATATAAGGATAGAAATCGTGATATTAAAAGCTACATAATAAGCATATTCTTTATGTTGAAATCATTAATATTAAATATTTTAACATGCACAAATAAACAAATATATGTGTATTTTCACATACTATAATAAATTATATACAATTTATATAAACTCTCTCTCTCACACACACACACAGACATACATACACACAAATATATATGTAAATTAAGAAGACAAATTATCACGAGTAAAAAAATAGAAAATATGATATTAACTTTATTGCTAAATCTGAATGTATTAAATTATTCCCAACTTATAAAGGAACAAAAATTTATTTTATTATCATAAATATCATTATAATACGTGTTGACTTGACTACTGACGTTTCTAATCAAATTTAAGTACAAAAATAAAATCTATGTGCGAACTTTAAAATGGTGTACTTAAATGTGCTTAAAAAAACTTACTTTCTTGTAGATTCCTTATAATGAAATGAAAATTATTCAATGTAAATTGAAGAAGGAATGATTAAATTCCGTTTCTTGATCAATCGTATGGTTGTCCTATCTATTCTCAAATATCTACGTGTAAATCTGATCAAGAAACGTATAATCGCGCTGAATATCGTTTTTGAAGTTTGTACTTTTACTGCTAGATGGTACACCAAACGAATATTATATTTTGTTAACATTTTTATCAATGAAGTATTTTCATTTTAATTCTATGCTCAACACAAATAGAATTTTATAAATAATATTTTAAAGTTACTCTTTAATTCTTTTAATATACATGTAATTGTATAATATAATTGATTTTAATATTATCATTTTGTTGAAATGAGTTTAATGAAGTATGTAACACTTCGTTCTAACTAATAAAAATTATGAAATTCAAAACAGTTACGATGCAATTTGTGTACATGCAAACTAATAACAAATATTACATACGAGAAAAAAAAATAATGCGTGAAAAATCAAAGTTTTTCTTTCTTTTTTTTTTCCAGTCGTGTTTACTAGTTATTTTTCTATGTCGATCACCCTTCTGGTATCTAGGCTCCGTGATTTCGATATAAGTTGGTGAAATCATCTTTAAAAGTACATCCATAAAACACTGCTACATAGAATGGTTGTGCTATGAAAATATAGAACGACTTATTAAAAGACGATTGGAGGATCGAGAAATGAAAAAGCAGTTCCTTTTTTTGGTTATACAATCCTAGAAATGATTATTAAATTGATATTTTAAAGTTATCTTTGCTATATTTCAAATATTTTAATTTTGACAACAAATTTAAATATCATATATCAATGAACTACTTCTAATTATTGCTTTCTTTCACTTGGCAATCGATATTTTCTACATATACCATAACAATACATAAAATTAGTAAGATTACGCATTGATATTTGATCACCTAATTATAGATTAGAAGAGAAGAAATAACATGACACATGAAAAGAGAAATTTGACTGAAGAGAGGATTCATCAAATTATATTGAAGATTTTATTGGGTCATCGAAATTTAATAATAATGCTTCTTATTTAATAATTATTATTCTTTACTCTTTTGTAGTATACTCATGATTTATTTTAAAATGAGTTATACTATAATCCTTCTATTTTTTCTAATATATACGCATCAAGAGAGGATTTTATCTATATTAATCTCTTATGCTTTTGCAGAAAGTGCTTCAAGATCTTTAATGCACTGTTGAAGAGTTGCTTTTTCTTGTTCTGGTGTTATTGCTTTTAACACATTGTTTATAATCCATTGTACCATATGTTTTTGTGCTATTCTTCGTTCTACTATCTGTATTTGAGCATTGTAGTCCAAACGTTTCTTTACCTAAAGAAATTAATATTAGAAATAAATATCAACTGTTTGAGTCTCCAGCAGCACGATTACACTTGGCATTTAAAATAAAAATGATCTACCTCTTTATAAACATGAGCAAGACGTTCTCTATATACAGCCTCCAACTGTATTTTGATATTCTCTCTCTTGGCATCCATGAGAAGACTTTGCCCTTCGGCTCTCCATATAGCATCCTTGCTTTGTTTTATACCATCTTCTGCAAATTGAATTTCTTCATTTCTTTGATCCTCAAATACTTGAATTTCTTTATTTTGTTCTTTTTCCAGATATTTGGATAAAGCAGGACCCAATTTTTTTACTAAAAATATCCATATAATCGCAAATGATACAGCATTATGAAATTCATGCTCCAGGACATAGATTTCTTTAGAAAGTAAGTATGTCCCTACGCTTACACCAAATACATAAGGTCCTGAAAATAAAAAACAAAGTCAAAAATAAATAACCAGTACTATTATCAATAACGGTATGCAATGAAAATTTGTTTACCTGTAACTCCAGTTTTTGGATAAAAGAAAGTAAACCATGAATCAGGAAGGAATCCAAATCTGACAGGAGCTGGATCTATTAGACGTGTAGGTCGAGGACCATTTGAAGTAGTAACTGTTTGTACGCCACGTACAGCTATTGGTAACATTTGAGCTAAAAATCATATTTAAATACATATATCAGTTTGAAAGTTTTTCATTGTAAAATAAATATCAATCAATGATTTATAACTACCATGAATAAATCCATTGGTTGCTAGTGGAAGTACAGATTTAACAAATACATGTAATATCAGTTACAATAGAATCGATTGATTTAAATTACAATCATTCAAATATAAATAAAATTACAAAATCTATTATTATATAATAAGAATAAAATAAATGATAACTACATTGTCCAAATTATGGTGATGTTAACAAATATGATATAGTGTATCGTTTAAATGTCAAGAATATGTTTATTATATTGTTGTATTTTTAATATATTAAATAACATTTTAAACATAAATATAAATTACCATTACGAAGAGCAAGTCTGGACAACATTTTGATGGCACTCTTGTTCGACCGACAGTCGTCGTCGTCACTTCCACGGCTCTTCGTATAGTACGAAAACTCGAGACAACCCGAGATTTCCCGAAATAATACGAGACTATCCGAAACCTACCGAGACTAACCTTTTTAACCGAAGTGATAATAACCAGTAAGTAGGTAACTATCAGTATATTTTTGCATGCTTATTGGTTACTTTAATTTTCAAATAGTTAAACCATATGGAAGAATTCTAATAGATTGTAAGCTCTAACACGACCAGGAGGAAAAGTATATTTGTCGATTATTATTTTGTATACATTTTTAATATGATATTATTCATAGTAAATATTATTATTAAATATATAAAAAAATGTATAAAAATTAGGAACGATTTACAATATTTAATCTAATAGATAATATGTGTGTGTTTATACCAATCATATCGATTAGAAAAATCGTTTAGGGATTTTTAAAAAATTATTCTAATTACTATATTATTTATATAGTATAATATATAAATATAAATATTTTTATGCGCTATTGCGCATATTATATTTAAAATAAATGATGTGATTAGACTAATCCGAATAATGTTTTATTATAAAAAATAATGATGTAGTAAAATATGTAAGAAATAGAAAAGAAATGTAAAGTTTTGAAAAATATGCGTTAAAAATAAGTACTTAACGAATGTGATAGGTACAGCCCTGTTGGGGAGTTTGCAACTGCGTATTCAAGCGAACAACTTCATGCAGTCAAATTTGTAGGAGCAAATTAAAAAGGCGTAGAGGTACTTGGTAGAAGTTTGATCTATTATTAGAATTGCTAATTTAGGGAAAAATGTTAAATAAGTGTTTAAGATAAAATGATGGATGTTAGAAGAAAGAAGCAAGTGTTTTGAGCAGCGCTTTCTCCTAACTCCCCTCTTCTCTCGTTCTCGTCTTGTCTATCCCTCTTTACCTCTGACACATTAACTGTTTCTCTCTCTTTCTTTCTTACTGTCGTTGTTCGTGACGCATCGTATCCCCGCAACATCGGTTCACAGTTACTTCGTGCTGCTTCTAGGTTTAAGCGAAAGGGAAAATATCGACGGGGCTGGTGGGGTACATCGTGCCAGCAGTGATTTTTCCAACAATATTCCGACGTTCACCACGGAATAAAGGAAATTTCGTATCCCAAACGCCTTCGTGGCACGTAGAAATCGTCAAGACGTCACTAGATATCATCAGGCGTAAGCTAAAAAGCTCTGATCTAAGGAGCTACGATATTCCAACGGGAGTTTCGGATCGAGTCAAACTGCCTGTTACTTTTCCCTTTTGCTAGGACTGTGCGCAGGGGGAACAGGAAAGCGTTGTTAAACTAAAGAAACGTAAAGAAGCCACGGGTGACATGGCGTCGGCGGTGACGCTGGTAATGGGGAAGAGCGATTTTGTGGTGGCTGGCAAATATCGGCTCTTGAGAAAAATCGGTTCGGGTTCTTTTGGCGATATTTATCTTGGTATCAACATTGCTAATGGCGAGGTAAGAAAGACCATTTCATTTCTGATGACATCTCATCGTATATATATATATATATATTATTCCCTTACATTATTTCCACATCTYTTTCTTTCTTTATTATTTTTTTTTAAATACCCTACTTTCGATATCTTACTATATTTTTCGTTTTTCTTTTCTTCTTCTTCGTCTTCTTCTTTTTCTTCTTTTTTCTTCCTTCCTTCTTTCTTCTCTTTTTCTCCCTTCTTTCCCCCTTTTCTTCTTCAATTTAACGATGTAGATGATTATATACGTCGATAAATTAAGTCAATACCATACATAGATTTTTTTTTCGATTGTGCAGTAATATTCGATCAACACTTATGTCTCTGTCTAAATAAAAAGAGATAAAACTATAAATAGATTAACGAGGTTTATGTAATAGAGTAGAATAGATATATCTTTGAAATATTTATCATAACCCTAATATCACGCCAAATACTTTCTTTTAATTGCCATTACAATATTTACAAATAGTCTAATATTTTATAAGTAGTAATATCTCTTTTTATAAGAAAAAAAAAAAAGCTATTGTTATTACATATATTAATATATTTTTTATAGTTTCAGGAAAATCTTTTGAATTTATTTATATAAACTTCAATGATGCAAATAACTGAAACGTCAAAAGCGACAAAATATCTTTGATAGATATACAATAAACAAATATTAAAACAGTCCAATGATTAATCGTAGTAGCTAGAAATACTGTTAGCTATATTTGAATGGAAAGCTTGAACAATGATTTATTTACGAAAGATTAATGTTTTGAACGTATTCGAAATAATTTTTAGTGGTCACAAAAAATGTTGCAGATAGATGATATTAGAGAAGGATTCTTCTATAAAAATCTAAATTATACTGCGTTGTTCTACTGCAAAGTAAAATCATACAAAAATAAATCAACGATATATGTTGTTACTTTTCAATGCTAACTACTACTATAACTTATAAGAATGAAAATAGTTTAATTTAATGTATATATCGTTTGTTATTGCCAGTACTTTAAATATGACTGTAGTTTGTATTTTATTTCTTTCTGATATTATGTAGAAATTATTGCACTGTTATAAATGATTGTACTAACGATTCCTATTGAAACTTTTAACTATTCGACGACTCGTCGAGAGTCGAATAACTTTGGTGGACAAAGAAAGCAAAATATTCTTTCAGGGTAAAAGTAGTTTGTAAATATAGATTCGGACATATTAGATGCTTCTTTCTTAACTTGCAATTGTTTTTCTCGGTAAAAGAGAGTTAGTTTGAAATGTGAAACATACGTATTCGAAAGTGTACGATTTTATAGTATTTTTAGCTTCAAGACTATCACGTATTTTCACTTTTGACTTGCAACAGAAATGTTACTTATAATTATTATCAAATTGTTGTTAGCAATTTTGTTCTTCTGTTTCTTTTTTAGGAAGTCGCAGTTAAATTAGAAAACGTGCGTGCACGGCATCCTCAATTGCTATACGAATCAAAATTATACAAAATATTACATGGTGGTATAGGAATACCGCATATACGTTGGTAAGAATTACGTTTATATACTGTCTATGAAAAGAAATGTAGCTAGTGGTTTTAAGATCAATAAGATTGAAAAATGGTATTTTAATCGATAGGTATGGAACGGAACGCGAATACAATGTCCTCGTTATGGATCTCTTGGGACCATCCTTAGAAGATCTTTTTACTTTTTGCTCTCGAAGGTTTACAATTAAAACGGTTTTAATGTTGGCAGACCAGATGATTGGTAGAATCGAATTTGTTCATTGTAAACACTTCATTCACAGAGATATAAAACCGGATAATTTTTTAATGGGCATCGGCCGTCATTGTAATAAGGTAACTTATTCTCACATCATACGGCTATTTTGATTTATATTTGGAAAAATCTGTTGCAGCTGTTTCTCATTGATTTTGGACTAGCTAAGAAATATAGAGATAGTCATTCAAGAATGCATATAATGTATCGAGAAGATAAAAATTTAACAGGCACGGCAAGGTATGCATCCATCAATGCTCATTTAGGCATTGAACAAAGTCGTCGGGACGACATGGAATCGCTTGGATATGTACTTATGTACTTTAATCGAGGATCATTGCCTTGGCAAGGTCTAAAGGCTGCAACTAAAAAACAAAAGTATGAAAAAATCAGTGAAAAGAAAATGTCTACGCCCGTAGAAGTTTTATGCAAGGCATGTTTTTCAATTTATCGATGAAAATAATAATCAATCTCCTTTTATTACAAATTCACTATTAGGTATGGCTAAATTGATTTTTAATCAATAGGGATTTCCTGCTGAATTTGCGATGTATCTAAATTATACACGAGGATTACGTTTCGAAGAGAGCCCGGATTATATGTATCTACGTCAACTTTTCCGTATACTTTTCCGTACATTAAATCATCAATACGATTATACATTTGACTGGACAATGTTAAAACAGAAAGTAACAAGCACGTGCGTGAGTCTCAATGGTGGTACATCTGGAAATACACACGGTCGAGTTGGAGAAACCATTCAAACGCAAGTGCAAGGTGGAGTTCAGCCATCTGCTAAAACTAACGCTCCAGCAGGTAACAAAACAACTCATTTTCATATTAGTACTGAACTATAGTACAATGTTTTATATTTCAAATATTTTAATATTTCGTATTATTAATCCCTTGACATAGAAATAAAATGATGCGTGTCGACGCGTCGTACATAGGATGATACCATTTAATTTGGCTTAATTGTGAAAACACTCATATACAAACTCAGGAACAGGGCTTTTTATTTCATGTGTTTTTTTTTTATTTTTATGTTTCTTTTTTTAATTATACGAAATATTCAAATAATACATTAAGTATTTTCTTTGGGTCTGTATATAATATAACCACATGCGATCATTGAACACAAATGATCATCATAGGAGGACGTTAAAGCTGTGGCATTTAACTATCGTCAACCCCACTTATGATCAGAAGTATCTCAAACAAGATGAACAAGTTGATCAAAATTTTTGTCCGAAGAGTTATATCAAGAAGCGGTTCTCCAGTCCAGGAAGAGAGAAAGTTAATGACCGCAAAGGAACTTCGGAGTTTATAAAAGTGAAAAAAATAATATATATATATATATAATGCACGATTATGGATGAGAAAAGAACAAAACATTATAGTGATTTAACCCTTTTAGACTTGTTGGTATTATGCATGTATCATCAAGTTGATTTTTTATTTATTATTTGTTTTCTTTCATTTGATTATTGTTACGTAGAAAATGTATAAAAAAAAAAAAGAGAAAAAGAGAAAAAGAGAAAAAGAAACAAGTATGCTTTGAAAGGGTTAAGTACTTAGATTTTCGATGAAACCATCTCTTTCTCTTCGAATTAAGCATCCATAGAAAATTGACTAAACGTGGCTTGTCCCATTATTTTGATAACTGATTTATTTCATTGATTATCATAACAATAAAGATATTGATTACCCGAAGATCTTGTTAGAAAGTGCACATATATAATATGAGAATCCAATGCATTCTTTTCGAAGAAAGAAGGAGAGAACAAACATCTTATGAGACCACATTTGAATGATCGCTCGAGAGTAAATCGTTATAACAAATTTTGTATTTACTCTATAAATAGAAAAGAAATACAAAAATGGCTGAAAATTTATTTTGCAATATCACAAAAGCATTACTTTGTGTACTGATAAATAAGTACAGAAATTGCTTCCTATATTTTCTTTTTTTGTTCCCAATATGTAATACGAATACAGTGTGAATGGGCTTTTGCGAGAAATGTTAATATTTTTCTTACCTCAAATAATAATATGTCAATAAAATTGTACTAAAATACATTAATATTAAGACAACAATAGTTGCATATTTTCTTGAGATATGCTATACGATTTCAATTAGAGGCAAAACAAAAGGATATTAACTCTTTGTCTAAATATTATTATAATTAGCTCTCTTTCTTTCTGTCATCGGCGTATTTGATCGAAAGCAACAGTGATATATATATATAAAAATGGTATTACTGTAAAAAGAATGTTATTTGTTGTGTAGAGAAGACTTGTTGCAGATTTAATTATTAGTCTGCCTGGATTAATTTAAGAATATTATGTTTATAATCGTATTATTCTTTTAATATTTTTTTCTAGACAACGAAAAAAAAAAAGTAATAGATGATTTCTTGCATAGTTTTACGTGGATGAAGCTATGCAATTATATAGTTTATGTTTATTATTATATAACATAAGCTTTTTGCATTGTATAACTTTAATTTACTATTGATCAAATAATCTATCGACTTGATGAATTGATCGTCCTTATCGTTGGTGAGTTGGTCTTTTTTTTAGTTTTCATTAAATCGCCTGATAATTCAACAAATTCTCCACGGCATAGAAAAATCATTTCTATGATTAGAATTTGGAAGGGTCATTATTACACGTTTCTATTATTAATCCTTATTTGAAAAATAAGATAATTAATATTAATAATAAATTCGAAATATTTGATTCTTTTCTTTTCCGTTTACGTCAACTAAACAAATCATATTCCAAACACTACTATGGTTTAATTTTTAACATATATATCCTGACGATTGCCTTTGACAAAATTGTAATCATATATCATCATTGATACACCAGTGTTATTGTGTCTTCGAGGTGGAAGAAACTTTTGAAAAAATAGCTAATATTATCGTGACTACTCGCGATGCGAAAACAACGTTAGTTGCATATATAGATTATATTGTTCCATTACCTGTGGGAAATCCAATACAAATGGGCAAAAAAAACATTAATCATCATTAAGTGAGAATGTGTATAATTATTACTGAAAAAGAAAAAAAAAAAAAACTAAATGTGTATGATTAATCATTAGTGGGAGGTATAAATGAAATCAATAGTGTGTATGTGGTTATAAAACAAGAAAACGAATGCGCGAATGTGTAAGTTAATAAATAAATAATGATATATGCACTTATTATTGTCTCTCTGGTGTATATACATATTTGTGCGTGTGCGTATGCAATGAAATCGTGACAGTAACATTAAGTACGACATACTTTAATGCATAACAATGAGAAAATACATTAACATTATTGCTCCTTTTACCTCTATAAATAAATACTGAAATATTGTATTATACTTACTGTTTAATTGTATCTTTAACTTTCAAAGAAAATATTTCGTTATTTTCATCATCTCTTTTACAATTAAATATTGTCCTTTTTTTTTTCTTTTTTTCTTTTTTTCTTTTTTTCTTTCTTGCGTTTTTCAATATAATTTATTATTTTATATGTCTCTAAGATACAAAGAAAAATTCATGGCTACATTTTTTATGCCATATATATGGGATTGATAGATAGATAGATAGATAGATAATATATTTTTCACATAGCAATTTCAAAATGATATAGTTATATTAATAAATTTACAATTATAATGAATAATACGATCATCTATAGCAGATCCCACCACATTACACATTATATATCAATACTAAGAAAGCTTGCAATTATAGCTTTAATCGCGCATGTTATTAAATTAAAATTGCAATATATATATATATATATAAATCCTATTTGTACAAAATAAATTAAACTTTTCATTAGAATAATAATACAAAATAGATATTAGTGATAGTATAAAAAAAAAAAAGATAAACATATATAAACAACGTCACTTTTAAAAGAACTAAACAATTCTAATACGTAAAATTTAATAACATACAAGAGTGTGAACTTGTCGAAGTTCATTTTTTCCTACAACGATAGTATGTGTTTTTTCTGGACCACTGTAAGGAATACTTATCTGTGCTGCAAGAATTTGATTTTCCTGCATTGCTGTCGTTATTTCATGATTTGGAAATACACCAAATTGAGTTTCAGCCCTTCCTCCATCGTTTCGTTTGACTGCTTCTTCGCGTATTTCTCCCTGGTAATATTCATTTATTAATATTAATAATCGACGCGACTACACACACCACAGTGTAAAATTGTAATAAAAATAGGTGTTCTGTTAAATAACTTACTGCCAATCTATTAGCCTTTTCTTTGTATTCTTTAATAAGTAATTGTCGCTGCAACAATTGATATAAAGGTATCGATTTTTCGAGTATTGGTGTTTTTGCTGAAGATACTTTATTACGTGTCAAGTCGGGTACGGTAGAGAACGTTATTATATTACGGATATCCTGAAAAATAAATCATTTGAAAATCAATAAATTCGATTACTCTTTCCGTTTTTTCAAGCTGATGAAATAAATAACATTTAAAAGAATGCATTCATTTTTATTTACTTTTAGAAGATTGTTCGTTTTCCTTGCTAAATCATTGATGTTTGTATCTGTAGTTTCGAGATTTTTCGTAGATGTCAATGGTTTTAGACTTTCCAGTTTTACACGTAATGCATCAGATAACAATTTTCTTTTTTGCAGGTGCTCAGTGTTCAGAGCTTCTTTGAGTAATGTTACTTCTTGCACTAAAAATTTATGGTTTGCATTTTGTATTTCGGCTATTATGGGCGAGGAACCTCCTACTGAAATATCTGCACCAGATATCAATGTCCTTTTTCCAAACGATTGCAACTTTTCTTTTAATTGTCCTTTTTCACTTTCCAAAAATTCAATATCATTTTGAAGATGATCCATTGTTGTTTCGAATTCTTTCTCCTAGTATAGAGAAAATATACATATACGCTTTAACACAACATTCAGAGATATCGATCAAAAAAATGCTTACTGACAAATCTACCTTTCGTTTAATTGTATTCTGCGATTCTTCTAACTTTCTTTTTAATTTTTCTACATTTAATTCATGCTCATGTTGTTGCGTCGTTATTTTCTTCTCTGCTAATTCTTTTCTTAAAGTCATTTCAGACAGCTCTTCTTGTTTTTCTCGTAATGCTATTCTTGCTTCGCGTATATCGCTTTCTCGTGCTTCCAGTTTTCTAATTATTCACAAATTAAAGTAAATTGTCATTAAAATTGTATATTTTTGTTGTTCATTATTATTGAACATTTTGTTTGCAAACAATCAATTACCTGCTGAGTATTTTAGTTTCCTCTGATTCATTTCTTGCTATTTGAGCCAGTAAGACTATTGGTGCTACTGTTTCATTAGCTTCTTGTAGATTTGAAATAGATCCTGTCATTGCTAAATCATTTTCACATTCTGTCATCCTTTGTGCCAAATTAGCTGCAAACTGTTGCATGATCGTTAAACTAGATTTAATTGTTGCCACTGGCCCCATATCTTCAGTATCATAGACTTTTTCACTAGCCATAGCAGCTATATCTTTTAATTTATCGGCTGCTAGACCTGTATCCAAGTCTAATAAAACATTTTTTCATCATTAGATCATTTGTTCATTCTTTTTGTCAATACCAATTGTCAATTTTGTAAATAAATACTCACCTCCGTTTGTAACAATAGCTTGTATTGAACCTTTTAATAAAATTTGTAATGTTTTCATAATTTTGACAGCAGCTTGATAGCATGTAAATAATTGATTACTATAATCTTTATCTAGTCCTAAGTTTGTGCCTATTAAACTTCCGGTATGATCTCGAGGAACACGTCTTCTAGCTGATTTCAAGTGCTGCTGTATTGCTTCACAAGTTGTTTCAGCATATTGACAAAGAAGTCCTATTACAAAGGAAAACACAAAATATGTATATAATGTTTATAAATTTATCAAAATAAATCTCTTTCTCTACATGTGACAAACCTATATCCCCAGTGTCTCCTTGAATGAGAACTTTTATAGCTGCAGCATCGGTTGCAATTGCATCGCAAGCACTACCTAAGCTTCTAGTTCCATTAATAACTAAGCGAGCTTGATTAATAGATACACTTCCTCCAAATAACATCGAAAACATTGTAGAGAAATATTCACAACATTTTTCAACCGCATCCACGGAAAGATTTTCATCTAGCTGATCTCTTTTGGCTAATGCAATTAAAGAGTCCACTGATTTTTCTTGCACTATCATTTCTGGGAACGCAGCTCCAACTTTAAGCAATGCTTCCGGACTGCACACATTTAAGGCAGACTCGAAACATCCTAGAGTAGTTTGCAAGGCATACATGCACGCACAAAGACGTGATCGGAAAGCATACTGTTCCACGGAATGACCTTTTATTACGCCCACTCTGTCAAACATATGATAATAGTAATAATCAGAAATAATGGAATAATGGAATATTGTATTGAGCGATATATATTCTTACCTATCAATTTTATCAGTCGAATTGTATTTATTTCTTACTTGTGAAATCAATATCTCTGTTTTACGTATCATACGTGGGATAAGTAAAAGAGTTAAGATTGCGTCGTGATAACCACCGCGTGCTAAAAATGCAGGAGACATGAACGAAAGTAAGTAATGCACGTGACTTTCAGCTTCCTCCACATCTAATCGTCGTATCTCGAGATCGACAGCTCTGGTTTGCGCTCGACTCTCCGCAAAAGTTTTTTGGAAATCTAATATTTCGGCCAACTGTTGTTCTGCACCTACAATGTAAATAAATCATTTTCAAATATAATATACCTTATGTTTATTTTTAAAAATAACTTTCATTCATATTAATCTTATAAATTAACCTCGTGTAATAGATTTAGTAGATTCTGTCGTCTGTACTCGTTCTTGCAATTGCAAACATTGCTCTTGTAATTGATGCGTAAGCTCTCGAAACTTTGTTATAGTTAGTTCACGATCTGCTAATGTTTCTAAAGCCGCATCACGATGTCGATGAGCATCACGAGCTGATCCAAGAGCAAGATCTAATTCCTCTCTTAATTCTAATTCTAATTCTTTAGAAGATTCAGCAAGTTGATCAGACATGTCCTAACACACATTTTTTATTTTTTCGTTATTTTCTATTCAATAACATTAATCTTATTATTTCATTAAAATTCTCTATAAAATTCATGGACATATTTAGTAAGTTTTACCTGTAAAGCCTCGAGATCTGCAACAGCTTCTTCAAGTTCCGTAACTTTTTGTTCTAAGGCCATTTTCTTTTCTCCTAATACTTCTACCATTTCTTCAGCACCTAATGCTGCATCAACCTATACATACATTTATTATTCATTAGTATCTTATATATAATTATATCTTTTTTCTTCAATCCCTATATTATCAAAATAATATATATATATATATACTTGTTCTTGTAAATCTGCTATTTGATGTTCCATTTCCTCAACACGCGAAGATAATTTTTCCTTGGTACGTCCTAACTCCATGATTTCTGATTTCTTTTGATCCAAATCTTTTTGAAGTTTTTGAAATTCATGCTTCTCATGTGCTGACAGATCACGCATTCTTACAAGTGTTTCACGCAATCTACTATTCTGTTGTTCCAATTGCTTTACCTCATAACTCGATACGTTTGTAGTTGATCCTCCTCCTCCGCCTCCTCCTCCTGATGCCTACATTTTACAATCAATTTCTAAATCTTATCTATTCATAATAATCATAAAAAAAAAACAGCAACAAACAAAAGTAAATTTTATAATACCCTTTCTGACATTTCATTACGAAGAATTTCCAAATCAAGCGTTTGTTCCTCTAATTTTTCTTTTAATTGTTCCAATTCTATTTGGAGCGTTTCAGCCTTCTCTTCTGCCATTTCTTTATCTAATGTTGCCATTTCTACGGTTTCTGCAAGATCTGCCATTTCATCTTGATATTGCTCTCTGGCTGCTTGTGCCTCCCTAGCTTCTTGCTTTGCTCGTTGAAGGTCCCTCTGAAGACTGGCCTTAAAGCAAACAATATAATATAATTATATACAAAATGTATATTTATTTTTAATTCACACATACTGGCTTCTAATTCTACTACATACTTGGCTTTCCATAACTTTTACTTTAAATTCGAGTAGTTGTTCAAACTGAAGTTTGGTTTTTTCAAAATCTTTCATTCTCTCTTTGTCCTGTATCCGCTTCACTCTTAATGTTTCTACTTTTTCGTTCAAATCGCGTACCTATAAACATTTCAATGGAATATTTTAAAGAGAGTTTTATTTACACATATATAAATGTAAATATAATATACCTGAGCCTTTAAATTTTCATTTTCTTGCATAAGTTGTAGATGCGTTAGTTTTTCCTCCACTAAATTAGAGGCTGCAGCTGAACCAGCCATTACTTGACCAGGAACAAATTGTGGTTTCAGAGTTTCAACAAAGCCTGTCTAAATTATAGAGAAAAAAAGTTCAAATGAATGTTTTGTTTATACTTGGGTGTCTTTTTTATTATCACATTAAAAATCTAATATTATCTAAAATGTATGTTCAGATTATTTAGGCCTAAGTAGTAGCAGCACAACATACAATTATTCAAGATAATTTATAAATAGTGCAAGTATAAAAGTGATGAAGAGTATTTTATAATATTGTGTTAATAGAAAAAAACACCCACTAAACTATAAATGAAAGATCAATATTTCTATGGTCAATATTTGCATCTTATATCTAATTATTTTTTTGTCGTATCAAATTTTATTAATATTTATTTATTGAGGAGAAGAAAATAAAATGATTCAGGTATAATGATATAACAATAAATCATTTTATAGATTTAAGATGCAAATATGTGAAAACTCTTGTGTTTAACGATATGTTTTTGCAAATGCAATCAGTAGAATTAGTTTCTTTTTGAAACGATTAATGAGATTAGTTATGACAATAGACACCAACAAGACATAACCCAGTTATGCCTAATTCCCTCGAAATTAATTATTATCATTCCTTTGTATTCCCATACAAGTTATAAAGTGTAAAGACATCCTATTAATAGGTCTTTAGGCACATCAGGGCTAAAGAAATGTTCTATCAATTCTAACAAATATTTTGATTTCAAACAGGATGTACCTAAAGTCATCATTTATTTATTTTCTTTTATAACTCATATTAGCATCTTCTAACAGAATAATGACTTTTGGAACAACTGTACAATTGGTTTTAATGACATATTGCAGGCTTGCTATTCCATCATAAAATACAGTAGTATCTATTATGTCTATAATCTTTTCATTTTAAATATCTAATTCTATGACTATACTTAAAAAAAAAAAAAGTAACTGGTCAAGCAAAATTACACCTTTGTATCATTTTAATGTTCGATGAATTTTAACAATAATGCTTGACATTATTATCACCATTTCTGTTATCATCATTACCATCACCACCATCACTACCACCACCACCACCACCACCATTATCATCATCATCATCATCATTATCATCATCATCATAATTATTATTATTTTGATTAAATTAAAGAAAAATAGGTTTTTATGGTAAAATTTGAAATACTGTTTAATTATAAATACCCCATCATATCCTTGTGTATATTTACTGTAAATCATCTAACCATCGTAAAACACAATCAACTAAGCGAATTAAAGAAAAATGATGAGTATGAAAAAGAATTAAATGAAATTAAATATTATAATCTGTAAATATAAGAAAAAATCCATTAAAGTGCAATAATAAAATAGTTATGGCCATGTGTTATGATTATGAAAATTGTTGACATACAACTAGTATGAGAAAGTACAGGGGCAGAAAGGTGATGTGTTAAGTACTGAGACATTACAATTAATTAGTATTAATTACATTATTGTGATCATCTTGGGCCTTTGGCTTTTTGCCGGAAGGTGAGCTCGTGCTAGGGGACTTCTGAAACACGTATGTGCATTCCTTTTAACTTGTCCTCGTGATATACAGTTGTCAAAATGCTTCAATGTTAGACCATTTGAAATTCAAATTCTCTGACCATATGAAAGCACATGCATGGAAATCTATACTTATTTTATTACTCTTTATAATCACAGGATAAAATATGTATACTGTAGTTATGATTAATATATACGTATAATTCATTTAGAGAAAAACACAAATCTTTCAATGTAAATTTACTTATTAAATGGGATGTAAAGTTATTTGACCAGATATTTTCTATTATTATTCAAACTTTGTTTCTTATCGCAGTGGCGGGGAACCTACTATCCAGTGAATTATTATCTCTATATAAAATATATATGGTATTTATAATGAGCTTATTAGACATCAAATATGTATATATATATATATATATATTATTTAGCTTAAAAGCAAATTCAGTATCAAAAGAATATGTAATAATTTGTGCTAGAAATGATTTTGGATGTACTGTGTGATATAGAAAGTTTCATAACAGTGACTTGTGAGTACAGAAAGATAATGTAATTGCAAAATTTTATGCAAAAAAATAACGAATATAATATATTTAAATACCATATCTTTTTCCCCTTTCTCATTCTCTCTCTCTCTCTCTCTCTCTCTCTCTCTCTCTCTTTCTCTCTCTCTCTCTCTATGTGATTCTTTTAAAAATTACAATCTAAGTTGTAGAAGATGTTAGTTGACTTATGTTACTTTCAAGCTGGTCAAATTTGAAATATTTTTAAACAAATAGAATAAATTACTTAATAATATTGAATAAAACATTGAATAGTAATTTTGTGTTAAGTGTATATGCCCCTGATTAGACAATTTATTAATTAGAACAATAATATTTTTTCCATACTCTCCCTGCTACACATCTGTCACTGTACTTATAACAACGTACAAACACATTTGAAAACTTTGAATTCAGTTTGAAAAAACTTGCAACTTAATATATTATAATTAAAAAGAAAACATATATTGGAAAGATTTCCCACCTCTGCCTAATTAAATGTATTAAATGAATTGTTCTTTACATATAAAGCATATTTTAGTTTAGACACTCCACACCATTGGTAATATTTATTTTTATATTAATTAATTAATTAATTAATACCTCAATAAATGATGCTCGTTTAGTTGTCGTAGGAGCTGGTATAAGTGTTTCGCCACCATCCTTACGCTCATGCAGAGATCCTGGCACATTTTCAGTGCACGAGGTATTGAACTGTGTTTTACTGCCAACCAAAGATAATCGAGAACTATAACAAACAATTATAATTGTAGTATATACACCAAAATATATACATATATATATATATATATATATATTGATTATACATACATTTAATTTAATAATTACAATAGTAAATGCAGCTAAAAATGTATCAAACAAATATTGGTATAAATAACAAAATATTGGAAGCTTTAGTTGTATCTAATGACATTTTTTAAAATAACATTGTGCTTAACAATAAACATAAATGCAAATAATACAATGAAATAAAATAATCATATATATCCATAAAATGAATAATAAAAATGAATAAAAAATATGTTCAATTTAAATAAGAATAAAAAGTAATGGATTCCATGATCTACATGAATAATAATGCATGCACTGTCTCCTTAATTGATTATCAAAAATTTGAATTCTTTTAAATATTTATTTATTTATTTATTTTAGGAGACCATGTATGCCTTATATTTTACATAAATAAGATATATCAAACTATATCACAAATAATGGAAACGTCAAAATATTGAATAATTGAGACACTTCATTTTACAGTTCCTTACCCCGACAGTCTGTCACTCTGTTGTCGATTAATCTGTGCTGGAGATGTTTTTCTCCGTACTCTTTTGTAAGCAGCATATGCATTTTAAAGTTACATTAATATATCCAAAAGGATAATTAGTATTATAATTGGTGTCAATTGTTTTGCAAATAGTAATATAAAGATAATACGTGCAATGAATGTTATATTTATAATAGTAAAATATAAGCGAATCCTGCATAATATAAAACTTTCATGATTTGATATGCTAGTTAAGAATTTATTTTAAAGTGCAGATATAAACTTACGCTGTAGGTTCATTCCTTCGACGCATACTCATGCTAGCATAAAAAAGACAAAGCTTTATCCTTATTATATAAAGATAAATACAAAATTATTTGATTAAAGAATCAAAAGTGTGCTCTTATGTTATACAATTAATAATTGAACTATCTACACATTTGATTACATAAACCTATATATTGAAAAGTTATTTTATAAACAAATAATGATTTCTATAACTACTTGGGGAATTATATCGTACATATACAAACATGTGCAGATATTCATAAATACATTCCTATCATATAAAAATTAATCAGGAATAGTATACAGCATAGGGCACCTAAATAATGAGTTTATGTGTGACAGTCGAATGATGAATTTATCTTCTTAAATAGAATGAAACATTTTGTAGGAAGAAATATGAAAGACGAAATAAAGTGTTTACATATATATATATCATAATATTAATAAAATGTATTAGTAGATAATAAAAATATAAAAGTGCAAACCTATTAAGACGACTTCTAGCTCTGACTGCGCTGCCTTCGTCGGGTGTTGTAGCACTGCTACCTGCCGAAGATGGACTGGCAAGATCTGTTCTATTACCAGATTCATCCAACAGGATGATTTGTGTTTGTCGTACAAACATTCCATGATTATCTGGACACTAATAACATCAATAAAAACACAATAACATTAGTACTAAGATATTATCATTTAAAGTAACATAATAATATTAGCAATATAAATATTGCTAATAAATATATTCTAAAAAATAATTGTACATATTAAGATAATAGATGAATAATAGAAACCTTGAAATATTGCTGTCCTTTGATAGTGCCATTATTTTTTCCTTTTGGTTCATCGAGTATTACACCAATCCATTTTCCAGTTGCAAATGGAGGATAACCAATATAAGCAATTACACCTTGACAATCTTTACCAGGTATTTCAACGCGTTGACCGACTTTGTATGACATATTTATTCAGAATTTATTGAATCAATGTTTTATTGTTAATCACCTGCTGTTTTTAATAAGACTCAACCATATCTTTAACTATCAGGCTGTTAAAACTGTCAAGCCTTCTTTTGGCACAATGCAAAAAGGAACTATATCAGTTTCTAGAAACTAGAAGATTTTAGCATTTTTTTGATGGTATTATTATAGGTGGTGTGACGATCGACGTATCATCGAATTCGTTGGAATACCACATGTCTTGTCAGTGTCCTACCTAAAATAAGAAAGAACAAACGTATATTAAGAGTTTATTAAATATAAATATATTTTACGTGAAATCGTGGCAAAAATGGGACGACTTGTAGTGGTATAAAATGAACAAATATTTATTTATTTATATATTGTTTTTAACTAGATAAAAAATAAATATTTTCTACTAATACCATGTTTATTTATGGTAGCTTGCTGGCGATCAAGTACATGGAGAACAGTCAAGAACTTTTATATTTTTAAATGAAGGCCATACATTGGGAAATGCATTACAAAATATAATAGCTCACTAGTACGTATTTTGAACAGCTACAATGTTTAAATATTAAAACATTCATTTGAAATGATTATTGAATATTTAAAAGTTATTTATTTCTGTTTCTTATATTAGCCCTGAAGTAACATTCTGCGGATATACTGTACCTCATCCAGCAGAAAATAAAATTAACTTTAGGATACAAACTAAAACAGGACGAGCCACGGATATATTAAAACGTGGACTTCAAGATTTAGAAAAAATATGTGATCATACTTTAGAAGTTTTCAACGAAGCATATAAACAATATAAAAGTTCCAAAAATGTATCATCAGAAAATACTTAATATTATCGTTTAGTTTTTCTTTATATATTTCATTGTAAATAATAATTTAAGGTTTTTTTTTACTTATAATTAAATAAAATGTATATTTAAAATAATGAAATAAGATTAAGTAATTCTCTACCATGTTTTGAAGAAAATAAAAACACTATTGCACAGTAAAGATACGAGGAAGAATGATATATGAAAATAATAATACCATCAGCAATTAGGAGGCTTTCATTGAATAAAATTTATTTGATTTATGTTTAAACGGCTTCGGCAGCACGTTGACCTGGTACAGCTTTATGATATTTTGACAAATAATCAGCATATTCTTGATATGGTGCTTTAAGCAAAGGCTGTTCGTTCCATAGATCTGGTGTTAAATAAGCATAAGTCTTAGCTATAGCAGCATATGTTGCTTTAGCAAAATTACCCAGAGTGCAAGTAGATCCTCTAGCAGATGTATAACAATCTTCGATACCAGCCATTTGCAAAAGCTTTTTAGGAACAGGTGCTGACACGATTCCTGTACCTCTAGGTGCAGGAATCAAGCGCACTTGTACAGAGCCACATTTTCCAGTAACTTTGCAAGGTACTGTATGAGGTTTGCCAATTTTATTTCCCCAATAACCCCTACGTACAGGTACTACTGAAAGTTTGGCTAGGATAATAGCGCCTCGGATAGCAGTTGCTACTTCTTTGGAGCATTTTACTCCTAAACCAATATGGCCATTGGTGTCTCCGATAGCTACAAAGGCCTACAAAATTTTCAAACAATTATTTAATTTGCAACATTAAAACAGAATAAACTAAAAAAATATGGAAATAATCGTGTAATGTTCTAACCTTAAAACGGGTACGTTGACCAGCTCTGGTTTGTTTCTGGACTGGCATAATCTTCAAAACTTCATCTTTAAGATCAGGTCCAAGAAATTTATCAATGATTTCATATTCTTTAATAGGTAAAGAAAAGAGATAGATGTGTTCCAAAGATTGAATCTTTCCATCACGAACTAAACGGCCCAGCTTGGTAACAGGCATCCATTCTTTACTATCTTCTTTGCCGCGTCCACGACCGCGTCCTCGTGCTCTTCCACCACGTCCTCTTCCTCGAGGGCCTCCGCGATCTCCACCAGCACCACGAGTACCAAAACCTCCACGAAAACCTCCACGAGCGGCTGGAGCAGTGTCCGCCATTCTGCAATTAAATTCAGATATCGAATTTAGACAAAGATGCAAATAACATAACCAACAAAATATACCGTAACACGTGGCGTTTTCAATATTTCCATTTTATTATTTCTACAGCTTTTCTATTAATTAAATTTTAATAGAAATCAATGATAAATATTAAAGAAATAATTATAAAAAAGTAATTCTGTATTTAATACTGGATATATTCGTAAAAATAATCTTATAAATAACGCTGCACTTACTTTACTTCCTTTCGATGACTGTGATCTCAAAGGAAAGACCTATTTCCCCTCATGCAATGTTGTAATAATCGATTATATCGATATGTGTTATTATTTCGATACATTCGATACATTCGATATATTCGATGTATTCAAGATCTCGGAACGATCGACCAATAGGATTGCATATGCTCAGCATAGTATATATACTAACATATATATGTTCTTAAAAATAATTATAATTAATTGTTAACAATAAAATGTAATAAAATATGATAAATTTGACATTTATTTTATAGAAGAATTTTCTATATAATTGTCATTTTAACGAAATATCCGTTTAAATAGGCTTAACCAATCTATAAAAGATATAACATGAATTTGTCAATGTTCAAGTAGGAATAATACAAATAAATTTGATGAAAGGATATAATTTAACAGTTATAATCTCATATTAATGTAATGAATCATATATTAACAATTCATATGACAACACATGAATGTATACAAGTATAAAATTTGTGATTGAAAGTAAGCTACTATAATCTTTCTTTTTTACATATAGGAACAATAAGAAATTTAATATTTTTTAATAGATTTTCGTATTAACGCCAGTCTTTGTTTGTGTGCTTCTGTTACCGTTGCTCTTTTGTATGGACGGACCTCGTCCGTACCAAAACCAGGTATCCACATATTCCAATTTCTTTCTGTAAGTTTAATTAATATTAAACGTATGATATTATGAAATAATATAATGCACAATAAAAGTTTCCATATAAAATTACCTAAATGTAGTTGTACATCTTTGACTTCCACTGTATTTGCGTGGCGATGCTTAGCTAAAAGACATGCTGCATTTACGGTTGTTTCTACAAAATCATCTGCCAATTGTAGAAGCATTTCTTCTACCTCTTCATCTAATTGTTCAGTCGGATCTACCTCTCTTACTAAATCTTCTAAACGTGCTTTGGTGAGGAACTAAAAGAATACATCAAATTAATATATCTTCATTGCATTATTCATATGGTGATTCAAATGAATATCTTTTTTAATAGACATACTTGTGGAAAGTCATTACAAGAACTCGATACGGATGAATGCTGTGCTACTTGCTGCTGTTTAGATGCTTGAGACGTATACTGAGATTGTTGATTTTGTGTTTGTTGTGATTGTAAAATGGGAACTGTGTTATTACTTTGTATAGTGGACATAACTGGTAATGTTTGATTAGTGGGACCAACAGATTGCAAATTTCCAAGAACAGGTGTTATATCAGATCCTGTACTAGTTTGTACAACAGCTGTTTGTTGTGACATATTCTAGATAATAGAATAATTTCTTTCATCTATCGTCAAAATGGAGACACGAACTCTTCCAAGGCTTAACATAAACAACACTTTACCGCTATTTTGACAGACGACGTATAAAGGAACACTTTTCTATGGAAAGGAAACTCTAATATAAATTTATGCTACTATGATAAGTTACGATGATTCACTGTCGTCAAAATTAGGTCGTTAAGTTTACAACCCTGATCGAGTAAACTTAGTTTTTTTTTTTTTTTTTTTAAGAATTACGATGAAATGTATATCATTCAGAGAAAAACAAAGGATTATTATTTAAATTCCTGTTGAAATTAAATAACTTGTAGAGAAAGTATTTGCGTTCAAGATAAAATTCTTTCATTGAAAAATTAGGTGGCAGGTAATATCGAATGACGACGTCATATTTCTCGATTGTATCGAATTGGACTTAAAATTCATTAATGCATCTAGCCAACAAAATACAAAATACAAAATTATATTATTTTATTAATCAAGTACGTAGACAAAAACATGATCTAAGATAGGTTTTCTTTTCTTGAATCTTGGTATAGATAATGATTAGATAAAAAAGTAAAATAAGTAACTTTTTAGAAACTATTTATGAATCTATTTAGAAACTATTCAATGGATCTAAGACTGACGACGAACTTTGAAATAATCAATTTACACATTTGGAATTATATCATATATAATATTATTATTATTATTATTTCGTAATATAAAAAATAACTAATATTTAATATGAATCTTAAATATGTAAAAAACTCAATCTGGTGACAATTTCAAGTAAACGGAAATTGGCGATGAATATGTTACTATAGCGGTAAATTTAAATATTTCAAATATTTTTTACCATAAGATATAATAATAATAAGTTCAATTATCTTATAATTATTATGTATCGCGATAGATTGATATATTTATTAACGTTACAAAATAATATATCAAAAGATATTTTTTGTTTAATGTACAAGTATAAAATATTATACTCTTTTTATATTCATATTTTATGAATATAAAAAGTATAAGTTAGATTAAATTTATCTAGAAAAATCTATAGTTGATCGATATAATTCATTGGTTTGAAGTTAAATGAATAAGAAAATTGATAATCGTTAACAAATGAATTAATAATCGGGACGATTTATGAGAGAATATAATAATTATAAAATGTTTTATTATATACATTGCATTTTCCAAATGTGTTATTGTGTTGTGTTAATCATACGTAGTGTTTGTATGCATGTATATACAAAGGAAGGGGTTGGAGGTGAGGAGCTCTTACAGATTTCCGGTTTTGCACAGTAATTTCTGTCTGGTTTTTGTTACGTAGAGTAAAGTGGCCAAGATCTGGTATAGATCGCAAATACGTCAAGAAGCGTATAGAAAATAAGAAGCCGTCCAGCGTACGCATCTTCTTAAACGATTCGCTCTTCGTTCTTCACTTCTGTACAATATTTTTCGTCGGAAAAGATCTAATCTTTAGATTTTGTCTTGTGAGTGCTTATAACCTTGTTTTTTTCAAAGAATTTTATCGAACAACTTTACCGTCTGTTTGCTGCCAATTTTTTTACATTCATTATCTATTTTTGGACTTTTCTAAGAATAAAGATAATTATCGTTTCATAAGGTAGTTGTCTCGGAATCATTTACGAAAATTTCTACATTTTCCAAATTATCTTTTTGTTTTTTTTTTTTTGGTTTTTTAATCTTAATGAATCAAATACTTTTATAATATATATTACGTATATATATATATATGCATATAGATAGATAGATAGATAGATAGATACGCACATATATACATTTTCTATTAAATTGAGGTTGTTTTTGAAATATCATTTTAATAAGAATATTTATTTTTCAGAACCATTCATGATATGACCAATTGTATAAATCATATAATAAATCGTTCGTTTAAACTATTCAAGAAGAATCGTGTTCTTTTTGTAATTAAACTATCATCATAGTGGTTAACAAAATTACAATAGATATATACAGAACATATCTTAATTACATCAGTAAGCATGTCTACTACGAATAATGAAAATGTAAATAGTAATACATGTGTTGTATGTTATAAAAATGTGGAAATTTATAGTATAGGGATGTGCGAACATCCCGTATGTTATGAATGTAGTACACGAATGAGAGTACTTTGTCAACAAAATGAATGTCCCATTTGTCGTCAAGATTTACCAAAAGTTGTTTTTACCAGAGAGATAAAACCCTTTCGTTTTCTTCGAAAAGGTGGTTTATTGGATACACGATATGATATTTACTTTGACACCGTTGATATACAAGAGAAATTTTATGAGTTATTAGTTGATATTTGCACCATTTGCGAAGACAAAAAAGTCTTTAGTAATTTTCAAAATTTAAAAGATCATATGAGACATCAGCATGAACTTCATTATTGCGATCTTTGTGTGGAAAATTTAAAGGTATTTATTTAATTGTTCCTACTTTCTTCGTTTTAACCATTTCTTCTATGTCCTACATATTTGTCTATTCAATTTGTTAAAGATTTTTTCTTGCGAACGACGCTGTTACACAAGATCGGATCTTGCTCAACATCGAAGAAAAGGCGATGCAGATGACAAGAGTCACAAAGGTCATCCGCTTTGTGAATTTTGTGATCAAAGATATATGGACAATGATGAGTTGTATCGTCACTTGAGACGAGATCATTTATATTGTCATTTCTGTGATGCAGACGGTTTACACCAATATTACAGCTCATATGAGTACCTTAGAGATCATTTTAGGCTAGAACATTTCCTATGTGAAGAAGGAATGTGCATAGATGAACAATTTACCAGTGTCTTTAGAACCGATATAGACCTAAAAGCGCATAAAACGAGTGTTCATGGAAAACAATTAAGCAAAGCTGCAGCTAAACAAGCTAGAACTTTGGAGCTAGAGTTTACTTTGGCACCTCGAGGCGAGAACAGAATTAGAAGAGGTATGACAGGACCATCTACTTCCAAAAGTACAAGAGATTATGGATTTAGAGATCATAATTCTAGAGAATATCAACAACCAATGACAACAACTAGTGCAAGCAGCAATTCTCAAACTAATGTTGAATCTCCAGCTACTTTTATTAAACAGCCATCCGTCGATGTTCAAAGTAGAGAAGAATTTCCAACTTTGGGCAATTGCTCTTTCGTACCTAATTTAAATCAACCTACTAAAGGTAGAGGTAATGTAACTATTCGTAGTACTGTAAGACCTCAATCATTGGCTGTCACTGATGAAAACTTTCCTGCATTGGGTCCTGAATCTACTAATGCTAATGTTTCTAAAACCGTTAACGTTAGTGTTTCCAGTGCTAATTTAGTTGGATCAAATGTGCCACAAAGTCGAAAAGGTTCAACGCCCAATGTTTCTATCCAAGTGAATCGTGAAATTAATGGTACAGTTACCACTAGAGTATCTGGTCCTAATGTTAGGGTTCGACCCGCACAATTATCTGTAGATTCTGAATTTCCTGTTTTGGGCTGTAATAAACCCTCTACCAGTACTCCCAATTCAGCTCAATGGAAAGAGGTCTTACAGTGGACAACTTGTACAAAATCCTCGTCGTCTGCAGCAACTCCAAAATCAAAGAAAACAGTTCGATCATTAGCACCATCTCCACCACCAATACAATCTGGAGAGGATTTTCCAAGCTTATCTAAATCATCCAAGCAAAATAAACAATCTGCAATAATGGTTGTTCCACCACGGGCTCAACCTCCTCAATCTTCTGGCATTTCTAATAACAATGCCAAAACCACTGCAGAATCAGTCAAAGGAAAAACAAAAAAGAAAAAGGCAAAACACAATTCTAATGTAAATGAAACTAATAATATTAAACCAAATAAGATTAATACTGATGTTAAGAAAAATGGTGAATCTAGTGGCACTACTAGCGACGTGGCTGGTTCAATTCAGGTTTTAGAACCAACAAATGATACGATTAGTATCTGCAATGACAATTTATTAAAAAATTCTACTAAACATAATAGCAATGATAAACAGAATGGACGATCATCTAATGATACATCATGTAACGGTATAAAAAATTCTAACAATATTAAACATTCTAAGGAAGTTGAACATACAAATAAAAAGGATAAAAAGAAATGTAAAAACTTAGAAGAAGGTTCTTGTGCAGTCATTGTAAAAGCAAGTTCTGAAGTTAGTAATAAAAGTAGCAACATATTAAGAAAACGTACTGAACTTAAAATAGACAGTCTCAACTCTACCAATAATAATAATGTCCATCAAATGGAAGACTTTCCGAGTTTGGGCAGTAGCAGTTCTAAACCGCCAGGTTTTATAGATCCTCCACCTGGCTTTGAATCTACTACATCTCCACCTCCAGGATTCTGTATCAAAGTTGAAAATATGGAACAGTTGCATAGTAATAATGGATTGACATTTACAAACAGTTCTGGTGAAAGTTATGCCATTTTGCCAGACGATTATAAGCACAATACTTTGTACACTTATATTCTTCCACCAGATTTTCAAAAACGGAATAAATCTCTCGTAGCTAAAATGAATGAAGTATTAATGGAAAAAGATCGGATTGAAGAATTTCGCTATATAAGTGGATTATTTCGACAAGGTGTTTGCAGTGCCGAAGAATATTATGCACATTGTTGTACCGTTATGGGTAGAACAGCAGTTGAAGATGTGTTTCCCGAGCTTTTAGTTCTTTTACCTGATATTCCGAAGCAACAAGAACTGTTTAAAGTTTATCATAAAGAACTGGGTAATCAAGTTAAAGGTTTACAAATTTGTACAACATGCAACCAAGTTTTAAAACATTCGGATTTTCAAACACATATGGCTAATCATTCGTTAGAAAATCATTTTCCAGTGCTTGGTAAAAATAATACAGCTCCCAATAAGAATAATACGTGGGTACGCAAATGAGTTCGATTATTATGGACATTTCAAAATAGATGATTTAGTAAAGTCATGTAAATGAATGTATGCATTATTATTCCAATTTGTCTTTCCTTTGGAATCATATTGATGCAAAATAATACTTTTCATTATGTTGCACTATCCAATTAAACGAGTAATATTTATTCCAATCAAGTTGCAGAAAATAATTGTCTATATATGATCACAAGATAAAGTTACTTTGTTAAAGCCTAAATGGTTAATTGATAAGTTACATAGCTGCCACTTGGTTAAAAAATGCGATTACTTTGCGCGAAGTTTATTCATTTTTTGTTTTTCTTTTTCTATAATATAAAAATAAAATTATTTTTGTTAATAACCACAAATTTCCGTGAATTGTAAGCTCTAAAGAATATGATCAAATAATATAATTAAAAATAGTGCATTATATGTGAAGTATAATCGCAAGAGTTGCATTAAAAACAACAGTCTGTTCCATTATATGTTGAGAAGAACACAGTGTACATAATGTTTACTAGTTTTTTCTTTTGTAAATTATTTACTTTTTATGGAATAGACACAGAGAATAGAGCTTTATGAAATATAATATGCCACATATTAAAAATAACGTGTGATGTATTATATTATACACAGTATTTGTATGTCCAATGTAGTACCGTTTTGTACAATAATAAAGTTATATGTTCATCAGTTAGTTCACGAGATTAGTTTTGAGGCATTTTTCTTTTTAATAATTAATGCATGTAATAGGGAAAGTTGTCATATTCATTAAATATAAAAGCAAAATAAATTTGTGAGCTATGGTTTACAATACTTTTTTTTTTCATATTTATTATTCATTTACAAGCATATTCCTTATAATATAAACATTAGATGGTGTGTGTGTGTGTGTGTGTGTGTGTGTGCGTGTGTGTGGTGTTGCAAAAAAAGGAATAAAGTTATAAATTCTAAATAATTTCATTACTCAACGATGTATAATATTTAAAACACATATTATGTCTTAAACATAATTAATGGAATATTTTTCATTTAGAAAAAAAGGAAAATATGTATATGACGAGAACATAGAACGATTCCTGTACACATTTTGTAAACCTTTCTTTTCATATTAGAGTACTGTGATTTGCTCATGAGTGTAAAATCAAAAAAATAACAAATATAAATATCAATGAAACAAATGTTACATTGAAGAGAGAGATTTTGTTAATGTCCATAGGTTGCTTGTATAGACATATTATATATATATATATATATCTATAACAAATGAATTACCTTTGTATTAGCAAGATAAATTTGATTTTTAGACCAAAATGCGCAATGATTTGAGATATTAAAAGATTCAGTATATTTGTAATTGTCTTACGAAGTCTTCATTTTAATTCAATTGTATTCACAATAGTTTTGAAAAGTATATAGTACTGTATCAATATACATACTCTTAATTATAGATAAGTGTTGTCTTATAAAATAAGAAACCGTAAATTTGATGTTCTACATTGATGTTGAATGAAGATATTGTCTGTGATGACACAATTGAACGTATTATTACATGGTATCACTTTTTAGCCAATTCAGTACTTAGCCAATCGAGCCCTTCATACAATCCATGGCCCTGCGTAGCGCAGGCGCTTTGTATATACCAGTGTCGTCCACGAAGGGAATTAAGGCCCAGTTTATCCGTAAGTTCAGCAGCAGACATAGCATTCGGTAAGTCTTGCTTATTCGCGAATACCAAAAGTACAGCATCTCGAAGTTCATCTTCCTTTAACATGTTTGCTAATTCACGTTCAGCTTCTCCAATACGTTCACGATCATTGCTGTCCACAACATAAATTAGACCTTGAGTATTTTGGAAATAGTGCCTCCAAAGTGGTCGGATCTTGTCTTGTCCGCCAACGTCCCAAACCGTAAAACAGATGTTTCTGTATTCTACAGTTTCGACGTTAAAACCAATTGTTGGTATAGTTGTAACTATTTCACCAAGCTTAAGTTTATATAAAATAGTCGTTTTGCCAGCTGCATCCAAGCCTACCATTAATATTCTCATTTGTTTTTTACCGAATAATCGGATAAACAAGCTGCTTATTGTCAGGCCCATTTTCTCCGCGGAGAATGCCCTTTCAATCGATTACCTATGACAGTTCTTTAGCCAGAATCTTAATATCTCTTACGACGTAGTATAGCCTGATATAACCACACCAAATATGCAACTTTTGATATTTTTCTTTACGTGGGTTATCAATACTTCTTGTTCTTTACAGATGAAAAACATATAGTTGTGTAGTATATAAGTAGATAATAGTTTCTATAGTAAACGTCACCTTTTATTTTGCGGCTTAATTCTATTCCGGAAATAGTTGGCGAGATTTGACACGCACGCCAATATTACGCCACAAAAAAAGTGATTTTCTCTTGAATACAAATCAAAACGGCTTTCAATAACCAATCTTATTTCTTTTATAATGACGTGTGAACAAGCACTTTTTTAACGTCATAATAACTCGTCAAGATATCCACCTTTAATCGGTCGAAATGTATGAATGATCAAATCTTCTTAGGGGTATAGACTTAAAGAAAGGAACTAACTGATGCTGACGTAAATTATTCTCTTCTCGGTTTATGCTGCCTGCCCCCTTAGCATAAACTATATGAAACTATAAGAAAGAAATGATCTGACAGATATTTTTTATTGATCTTTACGACACCAGGTGGCGTTCGATGAGATCTAGTCTCCATCTAGTGGCAGCTCCATCAAATATAATAATTGTTAGTGATTCATGGAGTCGCGGGATAGGTCGGGGTATATTTCGATCGTATATTAATTAATGCTTCTCTTCGTCAATTATGCTATAACTTATAAAGAATCGTTGGAAATTTGTTCCATTTTGTTGGGTTTCACGTGGTACAATATATCCCGAAGAAACAGATTGTTTCAAGAAAAATATCATTTACGAACGATTAACAAGTGATACTGGTAAAACTGCTAAAGCCATACGACTAAAGTGTAGTCGGTAGCAAAATGGCAGCGAGTGATTCTACTACGGATGATAGTCTGTATCCGATTGCAGTTTTAATTGATGAATTAAAAAATGAGGATGTTCAGGTAAATGCGAACAGATTTATCTAAATATTCCTAATATTTATTAATTTTCCAAATGTTCTATATCTCTTAAATTTCGAATATTAATATACAAAAGTATCAATGTATATCATCAATAAAAGCTTTTTATTCTGTTGTGCACTTTTGTATTTTACAGTTACGTCTAAATTCTATCAAGAAACTGTCTACGATTGCTCTTGCATTAGGTATCGAAAGGACTCGTAGCGAGCTGATACCTTTTTTAACAGAAACTATTTACGACGAGGATGAAGTCCTTCTTGCATTGGCAGAACAGCTTGGTACATTCACACCTCTCGTTGGTGGACCGGAATACGTTTACTGTTTATTGGTAAATGACATTGTTTTTATTGATATAAACAAAGTCGATAATTAGAAAATATGTTCCGTGTGTTATTAATAGAATGTAAATAATATATATATATTATGAATTTATTATCTAGCCACCTTTAGAATCATTAGCTACGGTCGAAGAAACAGTCGTTCGCGACAAGGCGGTGGAATCTTTAAGAAATATTGCCAGCCAACATAGTCCAGCCGATCTTGAAGAATACTTTGTTCCTTTGGTTCAACGCTTGGCATCCGGAGATTGGTTTACGTCAAGAACATCTGCTTGTGGACTTTTTAGTGTATGTTATCCACGTGTTAGTCCAACCATTAAAGGTAATTCATATTTTTTCTACATTATTTTTCTTCTCTATCTGTTATTTATTTGTAATATTATGTCATTTCAAAATTACAGCAAGTTTACGAAATCACTTCCGCAATTTATGTCAAGATGATACGCCAATGGCACGACGATCTGCTGCCTCGAAATTAGGAGAGTTTGCTAAAGTTGTGGAAATTGAATACTTAAAATCAGATTTAATCCCAATGTTTGTTATTCTTGCTCAAGATGAACAGGATTCGGTACGACTTTTGGCAGTTGAAGCGTGTGTCAGTATTGCAGCTTTGTTACAACCAGAAGATGTCGAACAATTAGTTATGCCAACGCTTCGACAATGTGCTAGCGACCAGTCTTGGCGTGTACGATATATGGTTGCTGATAAGTTTACTGATGTATGTTCTTTATCACATTTTATTACATATAATAAAAAAAAAAAAACTAATGACAGAGATATCATTTGATGATAATAATATGATTTAATTAATAGCTCCAGAAAGCAGTTGGACCAGAAATTACAAAAACAGATCTCGTACCCGCATTTCAAGTATTATTAAAGGATATGGAAGCGGAAGTACGAGCAGCGGCTGCTGATAAAGTTCGTGACTTTTGTCAAAATCTTGATCAGTTGAATCAAGAAACTATTATTATGGGTAATATCTTACCTATAGTCAAAGAACTTGTAGCAGATCCTAATCAACATGTGAAATCAGCTTTAGCCAGTGTTATAATGGGACTTAGTCCAATACTTGGCAAACATAAGTAAGCATAAGCATCATTCTAAACGGCTAGATTAAGTATTACCAATCTTAATTTTGATATTTAAAATGTACTATTTCTATTTATAGCACGATCGAACATTTGTTACCTCTATTCTTATCTCAACTAAGAGATGAATGTCCTGAGGTTCGTCTAAACATTATCAGCAACTTGGAATGTGTTAATGAAGTTATAGGTATACAACAACTTTCATTGTCACTTTTACCAGCCATTGTAGAATTAGCAGAAGATTCTAAATGGCGAGTTAGATTAGCCATTATTGAGTAAGTATTCGATCAATGACATTTTATCTTATTTTAAATAAATGAAATAACTTTAAATTTTGTATTAACAAAAAACAAAAAATCTATTTTTTAGGTACATGCCTCTCTTAGCTGGTCAATTAGGAGTTGAATTCTTTGATGAGAAATTGAATTCTTTATGTATGACTTGGCTTGTAGACCATGTTTATGCTATTAGGGAAGCGGCGACATTAAACTTGAAGAAATTAGTAGAAAAATTTGGACCTGAATGGGCACAAAATACCGTTATACCTAAAGTATTAGCAATGTCCAGGGATCAGAATTATCTTCACAGGATGACATGCTTATTTTGTATTAATGTAAATTGGATTGTTATCAAATGCTTTTCCATATCGTCGGTCTCTTTGTATAATGGTATTGTTAAATTATGATGATTACTTTTTTTTCTTTTTTTTTTAGGTATTGGCTGAAGTATGTGGTCCAGAAATAACGACAAAAGTAATGCTGCCAACGGTTTTAGGAATGGCAACTGATAATGTTGCTAATGTAAGATTTAATGTTGCTAAAACATTACAACGGATTGGACCCTATCTAGAGCCTTCTGCAGTTCAAACACAAGTCAAACCTATCCTTGACAAATTGAATACTGACGCTGATGTAGACGTGAAATATTTTGCTTCGGAAGCAATTGCTGGAATTGCAGGTATCTAATTTAGTGATACTTATTTTATTTACAAGATAAACAAAATCTATACCTACTGTATGTAACGTGGCAAGGATTTCTAATAAAACGACCATTTATATAATTACATTGTTTTCCAACGCATTGCGTGTTTTTCTACACAAATTTTGTCCGTATAATCGAAACGTTGAACAACCAAAAAATACATTTTTATTTTAAAAACTGTTTAGATATTAATAAAGTATTATAATAACATAACAATTGATTTTCTTTCTTTTTATTCAAATATATTTGGTATTAAGAAGAAATAATCTCTTTTAATAATATTAATAAGAGAGTTTTGTTCCAGCATAGGCTGAGCAGGATGTCCGGTGCATTTATCATTTATCCAATATTATTAAAGAAACTACTAATTGTGTCACAATGTTTCCACTTACACTTGACAAGAGGTAATATTAATGCACAATTGGAGTACAATTTTGAAGAATAAAATAAATTTAAATTAGCGATAAATGTAAACAGTATGTTAAGTTCTGTTTTATTTGTATATCTATAATTATGCTAATTATGGATTATTCTGTTTAATTTGTAACATGTATTTCTTATACATATACATATATATATATATAAGTAGTTGTCTTAAAGGATAATATTATAATAATAATAATAATAAAAAGTACCTAATTATAATTTCTAAAATTTAACACACCTAGAATAATAATCTGCTTTTCCAATATTCATTTAGATTTTTATTTTTATTTTATCGACTTTATTATGTTAAATTAATTAAGAAAAGTTAGGAAATACAAAATAAAAGAATATACTACTTATACATTTATTTAACTCCTATATTTCTGTTGTCAATAGAGTTATCGTTTTTTTTTAAATACACAGGAAATACTTTACTTGAATTTTCTTTTCAATTCCAATTCAAACTCATTTACAAATCATCATTTAACATGAATATTTACATTTTACTAAATACTAATGCTCCATAATGTAATATATAATTGAAATTGTGTGTGTGAGATAATTTGAAAGATTTCCTTTTTTATAAATTTATTAATTATAAAATAATAAATACATCGATTATCTTTTTTTTATTTTCATACGAATAATATAGAAATATAGATCGTTAAGTAACATATTAAATCTATGTTTTCAGTTATGTAATATCCTATTAGTAAATGAAAGATGCTTGTACAGCAATATTTTCTTTTTATATTTCATTTTTATAAATTCTTTTCACAGCAATTTTATAATCGTTAATAAAATATTTAACCAAAAATGTGTCCTTTGTTTAATAACATTCCAAAAAAAAGTATAGTTGATCTTCTCAATTGAAGTATAATATTAATTAATGGTATCATTTTACCAGATCCTTTCTAATAAACTATGAAGAGATATTTATTTATTTATAACCATCATGTCAAGATTAAATCAACAATAATATATGTTTAAATATTAAATCCTACTTATATATATATATATTATTTCAGTATTATTACTATTGATAATCTACTTACCAACATCAATTATTATATTTACATATCACTAATTAAGATTTAATTGCATATAGAAATATGTATGTATTTCACAGTATCAAATGACGTGTAAAGATGATTGCCTAATTTTTCCTAATATGCATTTCAATTTGAACCAAACATGCATAATCATATTAATAATATATGCTCTTATAAACGAATAATAATAAATGTCTTTGGCAAAAGTTTAACTGAAAACGTAATTAAATTAAAATAAAGAAAACAATCTATTTGTTATATTCTTTACGAACTACATGAAACTAAAATGTATAATTTCATTATTGTTCATTAAATATTTT